GACAATGAGGGAAAGAACGTCATCAGACTGACCAATCCTGCTACCACCCAGGCCCGGAACCAGGACTATGAGGTAGCCCACCCCAACATCCACCCTATCTATGAACTGCTGGAACACATGAAGGGGTCAGTCCTGAAAACCTAAAGGTGCAGGATTTCAAACCCTAGCCCTGACACAGGACAACAACAGGATATCTAGAAAAGTCTCAGTTATCCATTGGGTAGCAGAAGGCAGACGCCTTGATCAAGACCAACGATTCATTGCAAAGAACACTTATAAGCATTGCTGTAAGACTAAGGTGTAAACTGTGTGACTCACTAGGCCACATTACACTACCATACCAAAATTTTCTTTTCTTTCTTTTATGTTTTGTTTTGTTTTATTTTTAGGATATGTTTTTAAATTTTCTTTCTGTTTGGGGGAGGTCACAAGGGCAGAGGGTGGAAGCAAGGGGATGGGGAGAGAAGTACCATTGAGATACATGATTTGAAATTCACAAAGAAGAAAGTTTTTAATTAATGTGTTGCCAGGGACTTAAGAGATAAGATCCAAAGCTGATTATAATCACCACCAACTAGCTAAAAACATCTCAATAAAGGTTGGAATAAATTATGACTTGATGACAAGATTTTACTTGCAAGAGAGAAGAAAAGGATGTTGCAGCAATAGGAATAAAACTTGAATCATGAGATCTTCAAATGTCCCAAAGGTTAGGCCAAAAAAAGGTTTTTTTTTTTTTTCCTTTAGTTTTACCCTGATGATACGTTGTTGCCATAGTAATAAGACTTTTTTTTAAGGGAAGAACAAACAGGCTGAGAGAGAACTCGCGATGGGCAGATAGATGATAGGTCTGTCTATTCTAAGAAGAGACCATTAACGGTATCTGCTAGCTTGGGAGTCAGCAGGGCAAAGATCAAAAGTCAGGAAAAAGAAAAGGATCTATCTCAAATGAGCAGGCAAACAATATGCTTGCGTTCATCAGAGGGAACGAGCAGTTCAGCTAATCATTTATGAGACACAAAGAACAGGAATTTAAAAGGCTTTGGGTCTGGCTTTCTCATGTGCAACCAAGGAAGGAAAGCATCCGTTGACTCTCTGTTGCATGGGGAAGGAAATTCCTTTGTGAAAAACCGTTTTCTGTAACACAGAGGACTGGGTTTGTTAGACCTTTAGTGATTCCAACATCAATGGCTTAGGTAAAAGTCAACATTGGTGCTGCTCCTCCATAATGTTTTATTGTTGTTAAGGAAATATGTTGAGATGAAGCTATTTCTCTGCTAGTGAGAAGGAGAGTACTCAGTATTGCGGAGATGAGTATAAACTCTTTATGTGGCATTGGCTGATTCTGGGACACACACTGTGCTGGTGCTCTGACAACTCCTGGGTAAAATGACCTGCATGGATTTGGGACTCTAGCAGCATTATGTACCCTATGCATCTATCGTCACATACCTGAGGATGTAGCTTCAGTTTCATTTGCATTTACCGTGAATTCTAGTCTCAGTCTTGTAAAAATAAACAAACTAGAGGTAGGGAGACTGAAATGTCTGCAAATATATTTAGAAGTGACTCTTTTATTAAAACATTCCAGAGATGCCTATTCTGTTTATGTATTTTTGTTTCAGGGTTTTTGAGACAAGGTTTCACAGTGTAACCCGGGCTGGGCACTTAGGTTGGCCTTGAACATATTATATAGCCTGGGTTGACTTTTGAAACTCTCCATCCTCTTGTTTCCATCTCCCAGATGCTGGAACAACAGGCATGAATGAGCCAATTCTTTTTTTTTAAATCTCAATTAAAGCAAAACAAATCTATTCTGCTGCCAAACATATACATATATAACACCCTGTTATATGTTTTCTGTATCCTACCCATGGCCTTCTTTGGAGTCGAAATTTGGTGCTCCTGGCCAAACATTTCAGTCTTTCCACTGTGGAAGAAGCCTTCCTTAGGAAAGGTTGGAAAAGTACTTAAAGTACTAGGTGAGCAATTTGTGAACAGGACCTATAGAGACTGAAGTGAATAGAAACTAGGAAGAGAGGGAGGCAAGGAGAAAGGGAGGAAGAAAGGGAGGGAGGGAGGGAGGGAGGGGGGAGGAAGGGAGGGAGGGAAAGGAGGGAAGGGAAGGATGAAAGAAACAGGGAAGGGAGGCAAGAAGGAAGAGAAATAAGAAAGAAAGGGAGAGAACAGAAGGAAGGAAGGAAGGAAGGAAGGAAAGAAAGAAAGAAAGAAAGAAAGAAAGAAGGGTTAAAAGGTTTTCACTGTGTAGTCTGAAACTCATGTTCCTCCTGTTTTAGCCTCCTAGTGAGTAAATGCTAGGATTACTGGCACTTGCCTCCAAAGCCCAGAGAATGAAACCTTTTGATACTTTATGTCTTAGTGACCTGGAAAAGTTTCGTGGGCTGGAGAAATGTGAGAAGCTTTTGTAATATCGGCCTTCCAACTCTACATCACGGTCTAATAAATAAACAGGGTAAGTCCCTGATGGACATGCATTTGTTGTGAGGCCCTATATTCTGGAATCAGACACTATCTTGCTCTCAGCCTGTAGGGTTAGGTGGTTACACCCACCTTTCACTATTTGAACATGGAAAAAAGAGTAACTGATGACCATGACGCCACAGCTAGTAGCCAATGAGGCACAGACACATCAAACAGAGAAACCAATGGTTGCTGGGCCTGGCATCACACGTGACATGCTAGGTGCTCTCTACTAAGCCAAACTTCAGTCCACATCTCCTGCCACTCTGTTCAAATTCTTTGTCCCTCCTACTTGCTCCCCGTGGAACCAGCAGGATTGGGTGAGGCAACAGTATCCTCCTATTGGGGAGAGGGGGAGGGGACGTGATGCCAGTGCGCAAAAGGGTCCTGCGCAACACCACGGGGTGGGGGTGGGGTGGCATATATAAGATCTTCCGGCCCGGGTCTTGAGCCCATTTTGTCCTGCAGCGGATGTGGTCCTAGAATCTTCTGGAGTTTGGGTCTGGTGGCCTCTTTGGCAGGTATGGTGCAGCCTTCCCCCTGGCACCTTAAGGGTTTCTGCCATTTCTAGACCTCGCCCATGCCATTAGTGTCCTTTCTTTTTATGGCCTTCTGCTTACTTCCACTATAGCCTTTTGGGCGGGGGAGGGGGGGGGATGTGAGATGAGGGTTATGTGGAGCAGAGGACATTTGTGATGGAGTGGGAAGCATAACAGATTTTTTTGTTTTCTGGTTGTTTTCAGTTTGTGAGACAGCGTTTCTGTGTTGCACAGGTTGCTCTCAAATTTCTGGGTTTAGGTGATCTTCCTGCCTCCTAAGAATCCAATGCACTGGATTTTGAGTTTTAGGTAGGGGTGTTTAGGCATAAGTGAGGATGGTATTTGTCAGCATGAGTGACTTTGGGTTGTTGCTAGGATGTGATAGTAGGACACGGATGGATCGGGGCCTGGACTCATGACTTGAAATGTATATTGGATAGAGCTAGGCCTGTTTCAGAACAGGAACTGAGTTGGCTATGGGTTCTAGGAATACGCCAGAACTGGGGGAGGGAATATGCTTGGGACAGTTGAGAAGGTGATGGAACTCAGATAGTTCAGAGAATTGTTCAAAACTGGAATTGAGCCGGGCGGTGGTGGCGCACGCCTTTAATCCCAGCACTCGGGAGGCAGAGGCAGGAGGATCTCTGTGAGTTCGAGGCCAGCCTGGTCTATAAGAGCTAGTTCTAGGACAGAAATCAAAGGCTACGGAGAAACCCTGTCTCGAGAAAAAACAAACAAACAAACAAAAAACTGGAATTGAGATAGTGGATGGTCCAGGATGGCACAAGAAAGGGGGGGAGGGGACGACGGTGCTTGGGATGGATGGCTTGTCGCCAGAACCAATGAAATGAGATAGCAGATGGTCCAGGATGTCAGAGGAAAGGGAAAGGGCGGTGCTTGGGGGCCGTTCTCTTGTTGCCGGAACCAATGAGATAACGGCGGTCCAGGATGTCACAGGAAATGGAGAGGGCGGTGCTTGGCCGTTCTCTTGTTGCTGGAACCAATGAGATAGCGGGTGGTCCAGGATGTCACAGGAAAGGGAAAGGGCGGTGCTTGGGACGGCTGGCTTGTTGCCGGGAACCAATGAGATAGCGGTGGTCCAGGATGTCACAGGAAAGAGAAAGGGTGATGCTAGGAACCGTTCTTTTGTTGCCGGAACCAATGAGGTAGCGTTGGTCCAGGATGTCACAGGAAATGGAAAAGGCAGTGCTTGGGGCCGTTCTCTTGTTGCCGGAACCAATGAGATAGCGGTGGTCCAGGATGTCACAGGAAAGAGAAAGGGTGGTGCTTGGGACCGTTCTCTTCTTGCCGGAACCAATGAGATAGTGGGTGTTCCAGGATGTCACAGGAAAGAGGGCGGTGCTTGGGGGCCGTTCTCGTGTGGCCGGAACCAATGAGATGTCCAGGATGTCACAGGAAATGGAAAGGGCGGTGCTTGGGGGGCCGTTCTCTTGTTGCCGGAACCAATGAGGTAGCGGGTGGTCCAGGATGTCACAGGAAAGGGAAAGGGCGGTGCTTGGGGCCGTTCTCTTGTTGCCGGAACCAATGAGATAGCGGTGGTCCAGGATGTCACCGGAAAGGGCGGTGCTTGAGACGGTGCTTGAGACAGCTGGCTTGTTGCTGGAACCAATGAGATAGCGATGGTCCATGATGTCACAGGAAAGAGAAGGGCGTTGCTTGGGACAGTTCTCTTGTTGCCGGAACCAATGAGATAGCGGTGGTCCAGGATGTCACAGGAAAGGGAAAGGGCGGTGCTTGGGACGGCTGGCTTGTTGCCGGAACCAATGAGATAGCGATGGTCCAGGATGTCACAGGAAAGAGAAAGGGCGGTGCTTTGGGGCAGTTCTCTTGTCACCGGAACCAATGAGATATCCAGTGCTCCAAAATGTCACAGGAAAGGGAATGGGCGGTGTTTGGGACGGCTGTCTTGTTGCCCGAACCAATGAGATAGCGGGTGGTCCAAGAATGTACGGGACAGGGGGAAGAGGCGGTGCTTGGGACGGCTGGCTTGTAGCCGAACCACTGAGATAGCAGGTGGTCCATGAAGTCACAGGAACGGGGTAAGGGGCGGGTTCTTGGGGGGGGGCGTTCTCTTGTCGCCGGAACCAATGAGATAGCAGTGGTTCAAAATGTCACAGGAAAGGGAAAGGGCAGTGCTTGAGACAGTTCTCTTGTTACCGGAACCAATGAGATAGCGAGTGGTTCAGGGTGTCACAGGAAAGAGAAAGGGCGGTGCTTGGGACCGTTCTCTTCTTGCCGAACCAATGAGATAGTGGGTGTTCCAGGATGTCACAGGAAATAGAAAGGGTGGAACTTGGCCATTCTCTTGTTGCCGGAACCAATGAGATAGCGGGTGGTCCAGGATGTCACAGGAAAGAAAGGGCGGTGCTTGGGACGGCTGGATTATTGCCGGAACCAATGAGATAGCGATGGTCCAGGATGTCACAGGAATGAGAAGGAGCGGTGCTTGAGGGCAGTTATCTTGTTGCCGGAACCAATGAGATAGTCAATGCTCCGAAATGTCACAGGAAAGGGAACGGGCGGTGCTTGGGACGGCTGACTTGTCGCCCCAACCAAAGAGATAGCAGGTGGTCCAAGAATGCACGGGACAGGGGAAGGGGCGGTGATTGGGGGCCGTTCTCTTGTCGCCGGAACCAATGAGATAGCAGTGGTTCAGAATGTCACAGGAAAGGGAAAGGGCAGTGCTTAAGACAGTGCTCTTGTTACCGGAACCAATGAGGTAGCGGGTGGTCCATGATGTCACAGGAAAGGGAAAGGGCGGTGCTTGGGGCCGTTCTCTTGTTGCCGGAACCAATGAGGTAGCGGGTGGTCCAGGTATGTCACAGGAAAGGGAAAAGGCGGTGCTTGGGGCCGTTCTCTTGTTGCCGGAACCAATGAGGTAGCGGGTGGTCCAGGATGTCACAGGAAAGGGAAGTGGCGGTACTTGGGGCCGTTCTCTTGTCGCCGGAACCAATGAGATAGCGGTGGTCCAGGATGTCACAGGAAAGCGAAAGGGCGGTGCTTGAGACAGTTCTCTTGTTGCCGGAACCAATGAGATAGCCAGTGCTCGGAAATGTCACAGGAAAGGGAACGGGCGGTGCTTGGGACGGCTGACTTGTCGCCCCAACCAATGAGATAGCGGGAGGTCCAAGAATGCACGGGACAGGGGGAAGGGGCGGTGCTTGGGGGCCGTTCTCTTCTCGCCGGAACCAATGAGATAGCAGTGGTCCAGGATGTCACAGGAAAGAGATGGGGCTGTGCTTGGGGGCCGTTCTCTTCTCGCCGGAACCAATGAGATAGCAGTGGTCCAGGATGTCACAGGAAAGAGATGGGGCTGTGCTTGGGGGCCGTTCTCTTCTCGCCGGAACCAATGAGATAGCAGTGGTTCAGAATGTCACAGGAAAGGGAAAGGGCAGTGCTTGAGACAGTGCTCTTGTTACCAGAACCAATGAGGTAGCGGGTGGTCCATGATGTCACAGGAAAGGGAAAGGGCGGTGCTTGGGGCCGTTCTCTTGTTGCCGGAACCAATGAGGTAGCGTGTGGTACAGGATGTCACAGGAAAGGGAAAAGGCGGTGCTTGGGGCCGTTCTGTTGTTTCCGGAACCAATGAGGTAGCGGGTCGTCCAGGATGTCACAGGAAATAGAAAGGGCGGTGCTTGAGACAGTTCTCTTGTTACCGGAACCAATGAGATAGCGAGTGGTCCAGGATGTCACAGGAAATAGAAAGGGCGGTGTTTGGGGGCCGTTCTCTTGTTGCCGGAACCAATGAGATAGCGGTGGTCCAGGATGTCACAGGAAAGGGAAAGGGCGGTGCTTGAGACAGTTCTCTTGTTGCCGGAACCAATGAGATAGCCGTCTTCCATGATGTCACAGGAAAGAGTAAGGGCGGTGCTTGGGACGGCTGGCTTGTTACCGGAACCAATGAGATAGCGGTGGTCCAGGATGTCACAGGAAAGGGAAAGGGCGGTGCTTGAGACGGCTTGCTTGTCGCCCGAACCAATGAGATAGCGATGGTCCAGGATGTCACAGTAAAGGGAAAGGGCGGTGCTTGAGACGGCTGCCTTGTCGCCTGAACCAATGAGATAGCGGGTGGTCCAAGAATGCACGGGACAGGGGGAAGGGGCGGTGCTTGGGACAGGCTGGCTTGTTGCTGGAACCAATGAGATAGCTGGTATTTTAGCGGGTTTTCCAAACTGGCACAGAAATGGGGAACCGGCGGTGCTTGGGAAAGCTGGCTTGTAGCCGGATCCAACGAGATAGCTGATGGTCCAGGATGGCACAGAACGGTGAAGCGGCGGTGCTTGGGAAAGCTGGCTTGTTGCTGGAATCAATGAGATAGTGGGTGGTCCAAGATGTTATAGGAACGGAGGAAGTGGCGGTTCTTGGGAAGCTGGTTTGTTGCTGCAACCAATGATACGAGATGGTCCAAAATGGCCCAGGAACAGGGAAGGAGTGGTGCTTGGGGTAGCAGGCTTGTAGAAGGAATCAATAAAATAGCGGGTGGTCCAAAATGGCATAGGAATGGGGAAGAGGCGGTGTTTAGGACAATTTGGCTTGGTGCTGGAACCAGGAGTGACACTTTTGGGTGGGTGGTGTCGGTGGAGGGAGGGTAGCAACTTTATGTTAGCATTCTTTTTGTCTCGGCGCCTTTTCGTGGAGCGGTTTCACAAATCTTATCAAGGATTTTTTTTTAAAGGTCTTACAATGTAGTGGTGGCAGGCTTCAAACTGACACATTTAGCCTGTTAGCCGCCTTCAAGTTTAGGTATTAAAGGTGTCTGCCACCATGCCGGCAAGGTGCTGTCTTCAGATTCTTGTGCAGAGTCAGATTAGCACACCTTGCATGGGCAGGCACATTCAGAATAGACCGTATTAAATAATCCCGTACTTTGCCTTGCACAGGAAGCAGCATCCCTGCACCGCCTGTCTGAATAGAAGCCAGAAGACCAATAGCATCAACCATCAGTGCCAGCAAAATCACTGTATCCATACTTCAGCAAACATCAGGGTGAGCAGCTATTTTGTGAGCAGCAAAGAGCAGGTCAAGGGGCTACCTGCCAAGGTTCATGGACTGCAGGATAGGACTATACTTAGGGTGACAATATCTGTTTACTTTTGGGGGCCTTTTTCTGCCTTTGATTGCAGATTTCATACAATTTTAAACCATAAGCATTTTTCAGATCAGTGCCCATTCTTTAGTCTCTGCTTACCTCCCCCTATACCTGTCACCAACATCTTGTTGCTGAGATGCTTTATTGGATGGATGACCATGACATCACCTGCTGTTTCCCAAGGGCGTTTACCTTCCCACGTGGCACTATGTGATAACACACTGGTCTTGTATCCATGGCAGTACATTAGATTGTCACATACAAACAGTACTTTGCACGTACCACTCTGATCACATCTGCTGATCTCCAGTCATCTTTTCCTCTGCTGAGCTTTCCTCAAGAGGAGAGTCTTCTATGATTGCCAGTCTTGGACACAGCAAAGAGTGGTCTGAACCCAGTATAGCCTCTAGTAGGTGGTAGAGTGTTCTTCTTCCTGTCTTTTCTACCACTGGGTCTTTTCCAGTTTTTCCAGTGTTTGCCTCCTGACATTGACATTTTCCCCACAGGTACTTGGAGAATACACGCTAGATTCTCCAGCCTTCCAGAGAGGTTACCATGGCAAGAGGTCAGCAGGGTCCTGTGATTTTCAGAGAACTTTGTGTGGGAAGACCCTCAAAATGTTTTCAAGAGCCTGGGAAGGAAAAGTGATTCTCTGGGAGTGAAAAAGTGACAGGAAGTATTAACTAAGCTCTTCATTTGCATTTCAGGCTGTGGGAAACCCAGGACGGACATGCTGCCTTTCTACATGGCATTGGTTTTAGAATCGTTTGTGTCTTAGGAAAATCCTTAGCTAATAAGTACCTGAGTATTAGGTCTGTCTCTAGAGGGTGGGACCAATGGCTGTGGCTCTATTAGATGACTGGTGTATGGGGATGGACCTGGATCCCAAGAAGGCGGTGCTCGTTGTGGGCATCCCTGTGCAGTGCAGTGAGGCTGAGATAAAGGACACTCTGAAGGAAGGCTTACCTCCTTTGTGTGCTCACAAGGTGATAGGTAGAATGTTCAGGAGGGAAGACAAAGCTAAGGCGGTCTTAATTGAACTGACGGAAGTTGTCGATTATACTATGATGCCCACTCATATACCAGCAGCAGGGGGCGCCTGGGAAGTGGTAGTCAAACCCCGTAGCCCAGATAATGAGTTTATCAATAAGCTGATCTACTTTCTGAAAGATGAAGGACGAAGAATGGTAGATGTAGCTAAAGCCCTGGGGTTTAGCACTGCCCCTACAGTGAGCATGGAGCTAAGGAATTCAGATCAAGACAAACCAGAAGGTTTGAAGTCTCTGTGCAATAGCGTGTGTTACCGAAAACTGAAAGTGTTTTCTGGCAGTCCCTTTCCAGGCCCAGGAGAGGAGACTTTTGAAACCTGGTTAGAGGAGGTCACTGAGAGGATGCAGTTATGGCAGGTGGGTGAGGAGGAGAAGAAGCGGCGCCTTCTAGAGAGCCTGCGAGGCTCTGCCCTGTCAATTATGCAGGCACTAGGGGCTAGCAGTGACTCCCTAACTATGGAGCAGTGCTTGGAAGCACTAAAGCAGGTGTTTGGGAATAAAGAGGACTGTAAGAGCTTACAGTTCCGATGCCTTCAGAATCCGATTTCCTCTCAGAAAGCTGCAGAGAAGCTGTCTGACTATTTGCTGCGCTTAGAGCCCCTCCTGCAGAAAGCAGCGCAGCAGAGCCCCTTGGCAGCACACAGCACAGACTCGATTCGCCTCCAGCATGTCTTATCTCGAGTCTCCCTGACCACTGGCCTTAGGAGCAGGCTGTCCCTCTTAGATCAGCAAGGGTGCCCACCCACTTTTCTGGAGTTAATGAAACTCACTCAAGAGGAAGAAGAGTGGGAGACCAGCATGGTGGCGAAGGAGGAGCAGAATCAGGCGGGGAAGGAGAGTGGGACGTGTGAGGCAGCAGCAGATCAGGTTACCACCCAGGCAGGGTTCTTTCGGGAGATCAGCACCCAGACCACAGGAGAGGAAATTATATCAGTGAAACGGAGGCGACTGCTATGGAGACCCAGTGCTGGGGAGGAGGGGCCTCTGGGGCAATCAAGTTTGGGGGCTACAAATGAACCTGAGGAGCAGAAACCCCATGCTGTAGATCAGGAGTTGGGAAACGAGAGAGGGGCTGGGGCTATGAGCCACCCCAACCCCAGGGAAATAGAGGCTCAAGAGATCTAGAAATTCCTTCTTCTAGCAGGCAACAAAGATACCTTGGCAAAATGATGGGGCAGCCCAGACAAATGGCAGGGGACTTAAGTTGTACAGAAGGGCAAGATGGCCAGGGCCAGGATAAGGCATCTCACAGGCCACTAATTAGAAATGATTCTAACAAGCAAAAACAAGCTCCACCTAGCTCAGTGACTACCATATCCCAGGCTCGTAGAGAGTACCAGAAAAAGAAATGGGGAACTACTATAGCCAAACTTAAGGGTGATCCAGACTCCAGTTGGGATGTTAGTGAATCGGAGGATGAAGGTAGTGAGGGCGGTGACTCTGAGCTAAGAATGCCCACTGGCACTGAAGCAAGACAGGGCTTGGAGGAACCGATCACAGGGCTGTCCTGGCCAGAGAGAACCAGTGCCTGGGGAGAAGTGCAGCAAGGCCGGGAGACAGTGCCCCGGAGAGGAGGCCGCAGGATCCAGCCCGTCTTTAGGATCATCTACACTGCTCTAGGGGAGCCTCATGAGGGCAGCACCCTTGAGTCCTTTCGTGAGTGAAACACCAGGGTCCCTGGACCCAAAGGCCCCGGGACACCAGTGCCAACCCGGAGGCAGATCCCATCCTGGCACCCCGGCAGGACTGTGAGTGGGGGGAAGACAGCAGTGCCCAAGAAGATCCCCGGGCTGGGGGTGCGTACGCAGCACCATAAGGTTTGTGCCCTCAGCTGGTCTGAGAGCCCGTGAGTGTGCAGGACAGATTGGTGTGAACAAGGAGGTGGAAGAGCAGCAGCAGGAGGACTTGGGGCGGTAGTTTGTTCTGCTCTCTTTTGTCCAGGGCTGCTGGAGAATTCCAGAGAGCAAGCAAGGAGAGCCTGGTGAATACAACTCGGCAGGCAGCTGCCACGGCTGGCCCCCAACCCTGCCGACCTGAGAGGGTGGCCTGGCGCTGCTGCCGAGGTGCCATCCTCCGTCTGCCATCCACACCAGACGGGTGGAGGTTACAGAAGAGGCTGCCTCAAGGGTTCTTTCTGCCTGGCTCTCCCAACACGGATGCCCCCTCCCCATTGCTATCCCGAGGGAGGCTACTCCCGCCTCTGGAACCCCCCCCCCCCACTTATCTGCTAACCTCATAGTGACCCACTCGGCTGTCCACCGAGTCCTTTTCCCCCTTGAGTGCTCATCCCCCACCCGTTGCTTCTGTACCAAGCTGTGAGTGAAGTGTGTGTTAACTTGAGCAGCTGGAGGCCCTGACTACCTGGTCAGTGGCCCCTACTCCTGGCACCTGTTGTGAGCTTCTGTGAGCTGCTTTGCCAGCCAAGGCTGCCTAGCTCCCCTCCCACCGGTGTTGTGAACACTCCTCATCTGCTTTCCCGGTGTACATCTAGGCCAGCTGCCCGCTGCTTGCTCTCCTGCAGATGTGTGGGTGTTCTTACATGATCAAGTGCTCCCCAGAACCCCCAGGCCCAGTCCTGGATGCCAGCGGGAAGCAAGGATGTCGACAAGGGACTGGTTGATTTTGGTGTGGGACTGTGCTGTGATCTATGCCTGCTGTTACTTACGACTATTTTCTAGGACTGGTGGGGTGCTGCAAGAATGGCCCCCCCAATTCCCTGTGATGGGTCTGTGATGCTGTAAGGCAGCACCGTCCTATAGTGGTAAACCCTTGAGAGCATTCATAAGGGACATTATCAGAGCTCATCTTGACAAGAGGCAAATCTAGGGCACCTAAGACAGCATATTGTAGCAGAAGGTCCTTGTGTAGACAGGACCCTGCGAGGGGGGAAGGGCAGAGCCTGTAACTTCTAGTGCCCATTGAAAGTTTCTGTGTTACCTTTTTTTTTTAGTGGTTTTAGTACAAGTTTTTGTTGAATAAATTTCATGAATGTTCCAGCTATGTTTTGCCTTTGCTGGGAGAGTTGGAGGGCAACAGTGGTGGCTGGGTTGACACTGGCATGTGTCCATGTTGAGACCATGAAGGATGACAGTGGTCTCCTGGATGGGAAGGAGTCAGACTATTGGTAGCCAATGGGTATGGTGTACAATAATTATCTGCCTTCCTGGGGCACTTGGCATGAATGGGAATGCAGGGGCTGCATGCTGAAGGGGGGGAGTGCACTCCAGAAGGCAGGCTCCAGGATTCCCGGAGTGTTGGCCAGTGAATAGGTGTGGATGTGACTGACTGTGTGTGGAAGAGCAGGTTTTTGAATGTTGGGAACATTTGTGGCCATCTCTGAATGTGACTGTGTATCGCTGAAGGTGAACATGATTACGTTATTGTATGTGAGAATGGGTGTATTAGAGCGTGAGACTGGACTCAGTGAGCGTCTGCTGTCTTAAATGGATGTCGATGGATGTAAAACGTGTTACTGAATGAGTGTGACTGTCATGTGCAGAGCTTGTGAACCAATGTTTTATAAGGTTGGTGGCTTCTGCTCCCCCTCAACCCTAGTCTTATTTTCACCGATTTTACGCATCACTCTCTCATGGCCCAGTAGCATCTATGGTGGGCACTCAGGAAATATTTATTAGTAAGTCAGCAATTCTTTCTCTTCCTTTAGGCTTACAGCTCCAAGATTTACCTCCTCCAACTCAAGAGTAACTTGCCTCTCCCCAAACTTTTGGTAATCTTTGTGTCTCAATCTCCTGAGCAGCAGCATTACAGGCATGACCATATCCAGCTTGCTTTTGTAGCAAGAATGGATTCTGGTAAACCACAGGCCTAAAATCACCAAGTTATACTTACATACACGCATACACACACACACAAAAAAAATTTTTTTAAAAAGGAAATCATGCTGATGTGTAATATCTTAACATTTATTATAATCTGCATACATTAATGTGTATTAAGCAAATATAACTAGAAACGAAGCAATTAAAAAGAAAATAATGAAAAACCAACCCTCTTAATTGCAGAATTTTTTGAGAGAAAAGGGCTATTTTGAATTCAAATCAATACTAAAACACTGCAAGCTGTCTTAGAGTATTTTCCATATTTCTGAAACTGCTTAAATGATAAAGTACACCTTTAAGATGGGGAAACCATTCCACCATGGCCTCTTTGGATCCCATCTTTGAGGCCTGCAAGGAGATTCCCAAGTAACACTTCTAACCAAAGGGGAGACTTTTACTAATTCATTTGGCACCCATATGTTACTGCCCACCATCTGCCAAGTCCCATGCTAGAAATGGACTGAGAAAGACTAGTTGATAATTAGTGTGGGGATGTGACCTACTGTATTCTTTCTCCCCTTCAGAGTACATGCAGCAGATAAATACACAAATAAATAGAATGTTCTCTGTTAACTTGATAGGAAGAACAAGTCCATGCTTAAATGTGATTAGGACTCAAAATTTGAAGAAAGAGAAGAGCTATTTTATAAGTAAATCAAATGAAGAGGCCTCAATTTTGCATCCCCAAATCTTGAGGGCTATTATTGCTTTCAAGGATCTTACTTTAATGCTGCAGAGTGAAGCTGAATCAGAGCAGTCTATGAGCAAACTGCAGGGATGAACCTGCCTTGCTCTGCCAGGCATCAGCTTTTAGTATTTTGAGTACCTGGGGACCTAGAAGTTGATGTTGGTTTGAAACAGTCAAGACCAGAAAACAAGTCACTACTGCAACTGCACCATCTACTGGATGGCAATTACATTATTGTGATGCTTCAAGGAGGGATCCAAGAAGCCCGGAGACGAGTGAATTTCACACTTGCCATTTCTAAGAGTATGTCTCGGGGCAGGGTAGGTATCGGGACCCTCCACACAGTGCCTGGCCAGTGTCCCGACTGGAGAAAGTACGGGCTCCAGAGAGAGACAACATTGTTTCTACTGGATTCTTTCCACTTCTCTTTATTTCTAAGATGAGAATCTAGAGACTGTTAAAAAGTTAAAAAGCCAGTGCTTTGTGGTGATGCCTGGTGTGTGGTGAGGTCTCAAGAAACCTTAACTCTTTTCTTTAGTCTTGAGATGTACACACCCGAGGCAGTTCAGAAAATTTCTATGTAAAGTCCAGGAAGAAGAAGGATACTAGGGGTAAAGACTTGAACTAGCTGTCAAAATTCAAACAGACACAGATATCCCTTTTGTTAGAAGCCTCCTAATATTGTATCCTATCAAATTTAAACCAGGGTAAACTTTCCAATATGTACTGACATGCCTGACTGGAAAAACTCAGAGAATGGGAGGAGGTATTTTAAATCTGCTACATAATTCAAAGACAGCTACTTTAAAAGTTGTATGAGAAATTAAAATACACATACAGTCAATAGACAAGCTAAACCTTAGCCTATTTCCAACCCTTAGCATTCAGTGCCTATAATTTCCCTACCAGGGATCGTCAACAGCATTTGGTTTGGCCCCTCAGAAGCCTGAAAGTCTGCATACACTGGTACCTACACTTGTGCTTATGTCTAAGATAACAGGTCATTGCACTCAATAGCCAACATATCTTAGGGAAGTCAAAGTGGAGTCCTGTATCCTGGGAGCAACTGAGATACGGATTTGCATTTCAAAGGTATAAGAGGCCATACATGTGTAATTATAACATCATTGAGATAACGACACTAGATGTGTTACTTCATTACAAGGTGGGCATAAGTACAGTGAAACTCCTCCAGGTTGGGGAGGATGTAAAGGAAGAAGAACCAACAATTTGGGGACAACTAAACAGCCAAATGCATCTGGGACTCATCAGCTTCTCTTCAGCCTGGAGGAGCCAAAAGGAAAGCAATGAGATAAAGTAAGCATCCAATACCTGACCACCCGGGTCCTTGGGGGTGAGTAACTGTTACAGTGAATGTCAGCCTGAGTCCAACACAAAGGCATTTCTTAAGAGGGAAAGCAACCTTTGTGTAGCTAGAGAGGGAAAATATGCTGTGTTCAGACACTTGGGACAATCCCACTTGCTAATGGCCCAAAGGCTGCTTTATTCAACATCGGTTACTAAGTCTAAATCTAAAGCTATGCAAACAAGACATAATGTGCAGAGATTGGGATGAGGTCCACATTCTATCACACCAACCAACTAGGTGTTTGTCCAGAACCATTGTCCACCTACATCTTAATTTCTTTGTCACAAAATAGGCCCAGGTGTCCCAGGGTTAGAGGAGTCCGCTGAGGTTCTGGATGGGAGAGGTATTTCTTTAAAGGAAGATACTATGACTCTAGCAACTTGGAAAGGGACCCTAAGGAGGGGTTTTGTCCACATTGCCTAAGATCTCAAAGTAGCATAGGTTACAAAACAAGACTTAGGATTCTCTGATTAGCTGATGGAAGCATATCAGGGTCCTGAACTAAAACCCAGGTCCAAACCAGGGCAAACTTTGTTTCTTTAGTCTAATGGGAGACTTAGCTGCTTATTGTATGGGCTTACGGCACTCACCTAGAAGAGCTTCTCATAGCATTTCCCACAGTGGATGGTGTCACGGTGAATGAAGATCTGATCTAGGAGATCACCCATCGGTTTACTGCAAATTCCACACTAGCAGAGAAAGCAAAGTGGAGGTCAAAGCAGATGCTATGAGCAGATGGCACATCCTGGACTTCAAGGAGATAACAAGACATTGCAAACATAGATAGAAACTCTGATCTAGGAAACAAGATAAACACAAGAAAACAGCAAAAGTAAGCTAGTAAGGACTAGGGAGCACATTTCCAGAACTCAGACAAGCTGGGTGCAGAGGCATGAACCCATAACCCCAGAGTCTGGGTGCCAGTTACAGGAGTAGTCCTGGGGCTTTGACTCCTGTAAAGTTCACTGTTCCTGCTCTCAAATAACACAGAGAACAACTGAGGAAATGTATCCAGTCTGGCCTCCACACGCACACCCTAGTTAGGGGTTGCAGATTCACAATTCAGACAAGGTTAGAAATGTTTTTGTTTTTCAAGATAGGGCTTCTCTGTGTAGCTTTGGGGCCTGTCCTGGAACTTGCTCTGTAGACCAGACTGGCCTCAAAACTCACAGAGATTGACCTGCCTCTGCTTCCTGAGTGCTGGGATTAAAGGCCTGCGCCGCCACTGCCTGGCAGCCCAGGTTAAAATCTTGCGTGAGTGAAATGGAAAGTTACTGAAACTTTTCCCCTTCCTATTTATAAGATTGGGAGAGGCTGGAGGATATGAAGCTTAAGGCCCTGAGGAAGGTGATAGTGTCCCACAGAAGAGAAAAGGATGTTTTAGTAGTCCAGTTCCTCCCACAAACCTATGTCCTCAGGAATGTCAGTAGCAGGACTTCCTGGCACTGAGAGTTGAGTAAAAGGAGACCAGAAAGTGCCTGGTTTTCCAGAACTCTTAGTGTCTCCAACCTGGGGCTTCTAGCTTCAAGCAGTCAGAGGTGCTGGGAAGGAGAGGACAACCTTTAGATAACTCAAGTCCCAATGCTGATTCTCGCCATGCACCCTTCTGATGACACCCTGGCTACTTTTTCTTGGCAGAGTATTCCTCAATGTAAATCAAGTGTGCTTCTGTTTCCTGTATAATGCTTCTATCCTTTTAGTTAGTGTGTGCCAAACTGGAGCATGGACTTAGAATGATGATGATACATTTAGGGGTCACTTCTGGGCATGCAGAAAATGTATACAAATGACCCTAACCAGTGTGATCACTTTTCCTGGGACAGTAAAAAGAAGCTGGGTAGTGCCAATGATAAAACTTAGTAGCAAAGCACTAGTAGAACACATGTAAGAGGTCTGATCTCCAAATTATACAAAGAACTCAAGAAATTGGACACCAAAAGATCACACAATCCAATAAAAAAATGGAGTACAGACCTAAACAGAGAACTCTCAACAGAGGAATCTAAAATGGCTGAAAGACACTTAAGGAAATGTTCAACGTCCTTAGTCATCAGAGAAATGCAAATCAAAACAACTCTGAGATTCCACCTTACACCTGTAAGAATGGCCAAGATCAAAAACACTGATGACAACTTATGCTGGAGAGGTTGTGGGGTAAAGGAAACACTTCTGCATTGCTGGTGGGAATGCAAGCTGGTACAACATCTTTGGATGTCAGTGTGGCAATTTCTCAGAAAATTAGGAAAGAACCTTCTTCAAGACCCAGTAATACCACTTTTGGGTATATATCCAAAGGATGCTCAATCGTGCCACAAGGACATGTGCTCAACTATGTTCACAGCAGCTTTGTTTGTCATAGCCAGAACCTGGAAACAACCTAAATGCCCCTGATCGAAGAATGGATGAGGAAAATGCGGTACATTTACACAATGGAGTACTACACAGCAGAAAAAAATAATGACATCTTGAAATCTGCAGGAAAATGGATGGAGCTAGAAAACATTATTTTGAGTGAGGTAACCCAGACACAGAAAGACAATTATCACATGTACTCACTCATAGGTGGTTTTTAAACATAAGGCAAAGAAAGCCAGCCACAATCTCAGAGAACTTAGAAAACAATGCGGACACTAAGAGAGACTTGCATAGATCTAATCTACATGGGAAGTAGAAAGTAGAAAAAGATCTCCTGAGTAAATTGGGACCATGGGGACCTTGGGGGAGGATTGAAAGGGGAGGGGAGAGGCAGGGAGGGGAGCAGAGAAAAATGTAGAGCTCAATAAAAATCAATTAAAAAAAGAAAAGAAAAAAGAACACATGTAAAATCCTAGGTTTAACCCCCAGTACTGAGAAAAATATGTCTCTAGCTCCCTATAATTGAACAGGCTGCTGCTGATGCTGAGCAACTCTGTGACCTTATAAGAATAATGCTGGACTAGGGAGATGACTCCGTGGGTAAAGCACTTGCCATGTAAGCATCAGGACCTGAATTTGGACCCTTAGGACCCATATAAATCTAGATGTGATAGCATGCACCTGTAATTTCCACACCCCTAAAGTGAGATGGGAGGAAGAGACGTGACTCCCTAGAAACTCATTGGCCAGCTACACTGGCATACACTAGCAGACAAGACCATTTCAAACTAGGTGGAAAGTGAGGCCCAACACCCAAACTGTCCTCTGACCTCCACAAGAATACCATGACCCTAAAGATACATGAACATGTAAAGATACATGAACACCTACACATAGATACACCACACAACAAAGAAAGAGAGAATGCTTCCCTAATCCAGCATTTAAGGCCCATGGGATACAACTCTTGGTTTATGTGGGATTTCCCTCTGTATGCTGTGATTACCATTGATAAATAAAGGAACTGCTTTCAGCCTATAGCAGAGCTATAGGGGAACAGAGCTAGGCAGGGCGGGTGGGGGAACTAAGCTGAATGCTGGGAGAAAGGAGGTGGAGTTAGGAGAAGCCATAGAGCTGCTGGAGACAGATATGCTGAAACTTTCCTGTAGGCCATGACCTCATGGTGATGTACAGATTAATGAAGATGGATTAAATCAAGATTAAGAGTCAGTCAAGCAAAAGCTAGAGATAATAGACCAAGCAGTAATTTACATAATACAGTTTCAGTGTGATTATTTCGGGGCTAAGTGGTCTCCCTACAACTCTTGGTCATTCTGCTCACTTTCCAATGATCCCCTAAGCACAGCAGCTTCCTGCCCCAACTCCAGCTTTGTCACACAGTATGGGATTCCTGCTTGAACCAGCTTAGAACTTACCTGACAGTACTTCTCCCTATGTGCCAGTCAGAGGTACAACACATGGCAGTTGCCTCCTCCTTGCTACTTTACAACTCATCTTCCTTCCCCTCTAACTCCTAGTCATCTTCCCTCACAAAGCTCTGGAGTTCTTGCCTACTTCAATTGCATTCTCCCTTGTGAATGGTCAGCGCTGTAACCACATGTATTCAAGAGTAGCCTAGGTCTTAGGTTCCCCATAATTTTGCTGTTCTTTATGTAAATGGTCTATCATTAAGCATATGACCTCAAACCAACTCTTCTGGTACTGTTCATAGAAGTCCACCAGTCAAGGTAAACAATATACTTTGTACTGACCAAGCAAACAAAAGCAACTATTAAAGAAAAAATGGATTTAATCTAAAAAATTAGAGTTTATATCAAAATTACACATACACTTTGAAATAACTGTCTATGTTCATCTCTTTCTCTGACTTTGCCTGTTCATTCTTTATCTCCTAACACTGAGATTCTATACCAGAGGGAAGGGAAGTGGCCTGTCTTAAGATATCAAAAATTCCATGTGTAAAGATCACTTTCACTCGGGAAGCTAGACTCACACCTGCAGAGTTTTTGTTTTGATCTTCATGATTAAGACTGTACTAAAATATCTTTATTATATGAGCTAGTCCTAAAATTCCTTTCCATGCTGAAGCCACAAATCCCAGTTTGGTCTGAGGTGAAGTCCCTAAAGCTTAGGGGAACACCTCAGTCTGCTAAGTGTTAGATATCAAAGAAACCCTGACCAAATGAATGAGGTCCCTATTAACATATCAATGCAGAAGCTGCCAGGCTTTCCCAGTACCTGTGACAGAGTTCTCGCAGGCTTTTCTCAGAACTTCTCTCCCCCATCCCCTACCCAGAACCTCTGTAGTTTGAGCTTTGCTTCACAGACAGACACACACACACAAACACACACACACACGAGCTTCTCTTTTCTTAAAAAATTCAGCCATTTTGGCTACATGCTTTTGGTTCTCTTGGCTCCTGGTTTCTCTCTTGGCCTCTTGATCTGCAGCTTCTCTCTTAGACCCCTTTTCTCCTCTCTCTCCTCTTCCTGTCTTGCTCCCCCAACCCCCACCCCTGTCGTCCCTCTGCTCTCATGGTTCAGTCTGGACCCTTCCAGATGCCTCTGACTGTTTTCTCCCTCATATCTACAGTAAAACCTTTTCCTCAAGCATACCTACCTAGGAGCTGTCATGTCATTTTCATTCACCTGGTGTTGAAACCACAGGAGTGACATATATGAGTTCCTTTCCAAGGGACTCAGCCTCTCCAAACTAAGCTGCTGATCAGAGTCTCCTAAGGTATGTACAGCTCATTTGTTTCCACTGCCTTCTTCCACCCACCAAATCTGACTGCAAATGTGCCATCCTCCCTCCACCTCTTCTAACCATTTGTGTTTACCTGTCTACTTAGTGTCTCTCTGGCTCCTTTCTGCAGCCTGCTACACTTATCATGTAACTCTTGATCTCTCTGGCTCTTGGACCCTCCTGTCCCCTCCTGGGGTGCCTATCATCTGGGCATCTCTCTGGCTCACAGTCATGCTAAATAAAAATATAATTCACTTACAGGGACACACTTTATTTAGTCTCCTGTATGTGTTTTCAATGTTAAGTCTAAAGCAAGTAACTAAAAACAAGTTAAGTTTGCTTAAAAACAGGTATAATTTTTTTTCCACATAAGACTAGCCTCAGGAAAAAAACAGGTATAATTAATAGATAATGATCCTTAAACTCTTCAGAGATCTCCTGAATATGGCATTTAAAATGTTTCATGAAAAAAAAACTTCCTGTGATAATGTCAGGTCCTAGTGGCAATCCAAAAGTCTCCAAAGAAGATGATGTGGATGACCATGTGTGTAATGGATTATTAAAAATTACTGCGGATCCCCAGTAGCTTGCTGAAGGATCCCCGGCGTTGGCAGGCACTGCACAGGGGGTCCTGAGAGCAGCCAGTCCCAGGCAGGGAAGGCACACAAGACCACATGGCAGGTTCTGAAGGTGGCTGGTCTCGGGCAGCAGATGAGAGACAGAGGCATGCCATGCAGAGTGAGGTTGGATATTTATTTAGTGGTTGTGGAAGGGAAGGGAGAAGGGGAGAAGAGCAGAGAGGCAGAGAGAGAGAGACAGAGATAGAAATAGGCTAAGGCTGCAAGCAGGAAGGAAGACCTGCCTGCCTCAGTGGATGGGGGGGGGGAGTGGGCATGGCTTGTCTCTTAAAGAGACAGAACAATCATTACAACGTGGAGCTATGTTTCCTCACTGCTAATGTTTTGGGGACTCAAGCTGAGAGAAATCCATCTTGCAGTGTTGGTGAGTTTCCCTGTCTGTTGCTTGCTGACCTACCTTGTTAAGCAGGGCTTTCATGTTACCTTAGGTTCCTTAGTTCTGTTTTTCTGGCCAGAGACCCACTTAGAGTTTGATAAGTGCCACTGGCACCAAAATAAATAAATAAATAAAAATTTCCCTGACATATCCATTCTCTGATTTTGGATTAGATGGAATAGTACATGGCTTTTTCAGGAGACAACTTAAGCCCTGATCCCCCTATATGTCCTTGGTCATCTTCTACCTTCAAGAAAGCAGCCCAAGACAAAATGGAGAACTACATCCCCAAAGCAGCACATTAGGAATAACTGTAATTATTCAGCCACAGATAAGGCTACACTTCTGAGTTCTAAAAGCAGGCATGGGCCCTTAGGCACAAAGGGTCCTGTATGACCCATGTGCGCACATGCATAGTTACATCCATGTATGACTCAGCTAAAACCCTTGCGCACATGCATGAGTTGCCTATTTGCATCATCAGCGTATAATGTAGTCATGCGCTCTCTCTCTCTTTCTCTCTCTCTCTCTCTCTCTCTCTCTCTCCACATTGATCCTAAGGAGTTTATTAGAGGGGGTGCGTACAGGTACAGGCCTGGGGTGTGCAGAGAGAGAGAGAGAAATGGTACATCCAGCTTTTAAAAGCTGCCTAGTACATGCGCACAGGGGGTTGGTGTGGCTGTGTTATACGCTGATGACGCAGATGGGTTTTAGCTGAATCATACGTGTGTCCCATGTTTTCTTCTCACTCGTGCCAGGTAATTTCAATAACTATTTGCATATGTACTCTTAATCTCAAGTCTTAAAAGTACTCTTTCTTTCCTCCCTGTCTCTTCCACTTTTGTTAGGCTAATAGTTTAGATAGGGGGGCTATTGCTGGCTCACATCCCCTATGATGATCTAAAAAGGGGGCTGACTTCTATAACTGTTAAGCTCACAACAGATAAATTTAAAGTAACATTAAGGAAAACATTTTAATCAGTAAATGCATCTCCTCTCCCTCAGCTATTTAGTTAAAAGAGAAAAAGATATTATGTCTATATGACAAAATTCATCTTTTGATATTTTTCTATTACTAAGCCTTTCTCATATCTTAAAGAGACAGGGATATAAACATTGTACCTTCTTTTTGCAACTTGGTACACCACTTATAAAGGCTACTTTTACTAAAATGTGGTTATGGATAGAACTACTTTTCTGATTCACAAGGAGAAATTCATATCTGATTCAAGGAACTTAAACAAAACCTGTGCTGCTAAGGAATGTAGTGATATTTTATTTGCATTTTAATAAATAAAGCTTGGCTGAAAATCAGAGAGTAAAACAGCCACACTGGTCAGTCTTACAGACTAGGTAGTGGTAACACACACCTTTACTCCCAGTAGACACACTAGTTGCCATAGAAACTGGGTGGTAGTGGTGCACACCTCTAATCCCAGAACTAGGGAATATTATAAGACGGGAGGAGGCAGCTCTCAGACACAGTCTCATTCTGAGATTCCTAAAGGCAGGATCACCATTTCAAATTGAGGTAGAGGTAAAAGCCAGTAGCTGGCTGCTTTGCTGTTCTGACCTTCAGGCAAATGTTATTTATTAAAATACAGATGAAATATCACTAGAAAGGAAGCCATAGGCCCAGTGGTTAAACAACTGCCATTGCCTTAGTAAATGAGTGTGATGTCCTGGCTCAGATGCTATCTATGCAGGCTGCTGAGGGAGAATTGTCACCAATAGTCGTACCTGGATGACAATCCTGCATGCTCTACTATTGATACATGAGATATGTGCACTGCTATAACCAAGAACATCCCAATTGGATTTAAGGCCAGCCTCACGGAAGGTAATTCACATTTCATATTGTAAGCCTTGTCAAAGGCACTGGCTGGGGAGTGCATAGGTCCTAGTATGGAAAGTACTGCTTTTGTTTTGTTAAACAGACATTGTTCATAGCCACAGATTATTGCTGTTGTTAATTTCATCAGGGAAGTGTCTCTTCTCGGTGAGAGGTAGTTGCTGTAGATTTCTAACTGGTCTCAGTGCTGAGTGATACGACTGTTGCTTAGCCCCAGTTGGGAGAAAATAATCATGTATCTCTATCACCTCCTTCCAAGACCCAGGGAACATCACAGAAGAGGGAATGGAAAAATGTAGGAATCAGAGGGAGGGATAAACCCCTGTGGAACTTTGTTCTCCTGGCAAGGAAGGCATGACTTGCATCTTAAAATCCTAGCGTCTGTGAGTACCTATGTGAGATCTTCCCAAGATTGGGCCTGATAACACTCCCTTGTGGGACTCATGCGGCACTCAGGAAAGGGTCACTGGCACTTGAGGAATAATATATGAAGCACATGAGACTAGATGCCGTAGGCCTCACCTCACCCCAAGAATATATAAGCAGTTAATGGTTGCTATGGGGATGGTACTTTTCTTGGTCGTGTAACTTTGTCATGAGTTACCCATGTTCCTATAGGCACCTCTCATCTATGCTCCTGTAATTAACTCTGATTAAACTCACTGTTTCACCAAACTAGACTTGAATGTAATTATTTCTTTCATATATTTTTGGTGCTCTATATGGGGTGAAAAGGACATCTGTTTACATGTCCCCTAGGAGAATTTAATCCAATAACTCCTCATTCTTGCCATTCTATTCATGCCAGTTAGAATAAGCCATGTTTCGGTATTGGGACCTTTGCACTACTGACCCTCTGTGAGAAACAGTCTCTGCCCCGAACACCTTTTTGCCTCCATTATGTTACTAACCAGCTCAGTGCTCTGTTGAGCCTCTAAGATTGTTCACAGCTATGCACGGAAATCCATACTCTCTCATCAGATCTGTGCTCTGAAAACTATTCACACCTCTGTCTTACCTTAAAACAGTACTCATGGCAGCAGATGCCAAGATGTTCAAGGGTAATCTTTGGACAATCTCCGATCTCTCGGCTGCAGTAAGTACAGGCGCCTTCAGTTGGTCTAGGAGATAGAAACAAGAACCAGGCACTCAGACTCTGATAGGATGCAGCAGATCTAGCTTGGTGCAGGCAGACCTAGGTTCGCCAGTATTCCCAGCTTCCCATTGTGTTGTGTTGTATAACTGGTAGCCAAACTGTTGTATCACCTATGCCAAACTGGTTCTCAAACTTGGAACTATTCTCCTGAATCAGTACTAACAGCCCTCTTCTGCATGCCTGGGACCATGGGGCACACCCTTTCTCCCAGTTACTATCAAGGCCACCCTATCTCTAGCCTCATTGTATACTCTACTCAGAGCTCATCCTAAATTCTCTGGAAGATCCTGACATCTGGATCAGTTGTATCCTCTTTTCTAAGGTTCCTTTTATTTCTGAGAATCATCTCCGATCCTCCCTTCTTTTCTTTTCTATCCCTAACAGGAACTGCGGAAAGAGGCTCTTTTCTCTGATCCTACAGGCTAAAATTAAGAGTTCTGTCTTCCAGAGTTGTAGACCTGATTCCAACAGGAGCCAGGGTGTCATTAGCACTGCCATGACTATTAATGGTTTTCCCTGTGTGGTGGTTTGAATAAATATGGCTCACATAGGCTCGCAGTGAGTGACACTATTAGGAAGTATGGCCTTGTAGGAGTAGATATGGCTTTATTGGAGGAAGTGTGTCACTGGAGGTAGGCTTTAAGATTTCAGATGCTCAAGTCAGGTCTGGTACCTCACTCCTTCTTCCTCCTGCCTAGAGATCTGGATGTAGAACTCATAGATCTTTCTCCAGCACCATGCCTGCCTGCATGCTGCCATGTCCCACCATGATGATAATGGACCAAACCTCTAAACTGTAAGCCAGTCCTAATTAAATGGTTTCCTTTATAAGAGTTGCTGTGGCCGGGTGGTAGTGGTGCATGCCTTTAATCCCAGCACCTGGGAGGCAGAGGCAGGCAGAACTCTGAGAGTTCGAGGCCAGCCTGTTCTACAAGAGCTAGTTCCAGGACAGGCATCAAAGCTACAGAGAAACCTTGTCTCGAAAAAAAAAAAAGAGTTGCTGTGGTCTTGGTGTCTCTTCACAGCAATAAAATCCAACTAAGAAGTTGGTACCAGGGATGGGGGTACTGCGGTGATAGACCTGACCATGTTTTGGTTCAGAAGAATTTGGACTTTGGTACTTTGGGTTAGGAAAGCAGTGGGATGCTTTAAGTATGGCACACTGGGCCACACTAGTAGGAACATGGAAAACAATGGTGCTGAGGGCGATTTTAACCAAGGGGACCAAACACAAGAGGTTTTAGAAGAGAAGAATATTAGTATGTGGCCTAGAGATGGTTCTTGTGATATTTTGGTGAAGAATATAGCTGCTTTCTGCCCTAGTCCAAAATATCTGCCTGAGGCTAAAGTGAAGAATTGTGTATTTACAGTTTTAGCAGAGGACATTTTAAAACAACCTGGCATTGACTATTTTGTGTTGCTATTAATGACCAGTTTTATGCAGATCTATAATGAAAATGAGCAAGCTAAGCAAGGAAATATACAAAATGTGCAGTTTATGGAGAAAATGAGCTCCATGAATTGTAAACAGACTAAAGAAAAGCCTGATGCTAAGTGGAATAAAGGGAGTAGTGACCTCAGAGGAAGACCCCACCCAACTAAGCTTCCAACTGTGAAAAGGACTTAAGGAAAGTTTATGCCAGCACTCGGGAGGTAGAGGTTGGAGTATCTCTGAGTTGGAAGCCAGTCTGGTTTATAGAGCTGAGTTCCAGGATAGCCAAACTTAAGCAGTGAAGGAAACCATCAAAAACAGAAAGCCAGTGAAAATATATTTGAATGAGGGGGCCATGTTCCAGCCCCAGCAAGCAGCAGAACTTGGCAGCTTCTGCCACATGGTTCTGGTTTTAGAGTCAAGAACAGAAGAAAGGGGCTATGGAATCACCCTCTGCAACTAAGGAAAGCTTCTGAGGCCAGGCATGTGTCAGGGGTGTCCCTGCATGGAGGTCCAGAGAGGCCATTGCGTGAAGCTGTGAAGGTGAAGCCTGGATTGCCTTGAAGACCCCAAGATGTTGGAGATGCCAGAGCCATGGGATACTTGCCCAAAACTGCTGACAGGGAGTGGAACCACCCCGAGAGAGAAGTGTGTCATAGTCAACAAAGCTGAAAGGAGTTGGAGATCTGAAGAACATTTTGACATCAGACATGCAGAGGCAGAGTTTGGAGTTTGCCCTGATGGTTTTTGGTCTTGCTTTGGTCCAATATTTCCTCACTATGCTCTCTTCCCTATGTTTTGGAATGGTTATATATATTCTATGCCATTATATGTTGGAAGTATGTGATCTGCTTTTTTATTTTGATTTTATAGGGGGTTACAATTAAGAGATTGGTTCATTGTAGGTGCTTCCTTGGAAGAGAATGGTTTCGTTCCTGTGAGGATGTAATAAAGAAGCCTGACTTTCCTTTTCTCCAATGTGCCTCTCCTGGATGTCTTCTAGTCTATGTGATGCCGTCTGCTATGAGATCTAGAACCATAGCCAAATAGATAGTAGGTCCATGCTCTTGAATTTCAAAGACTGTGAACTAAATAAACCTGGACTCTATTTACTTGACCCCTAGTACCCTGCCCTTCATAAAGTGGGCATTTAGGTATTTTCTTTGTATGTTTGTTTTTGAGAATGGGTCTCACTGTGTAGTCCTAGGTGCCCTGAAACTTGCTGTATAGACCAAGCAGGCCTCAACTTCACAGAGATTCCCCTGCCTTTGCCTCCTGAATGCCAGTAGTAAAGGCGTTCTCCCATGTCAGCCTTGGGTATTTTGTTAAGCAGCATGTAATAGACTATGAAGTCATGTAATGAGTGACTTATCAAGTGATTGGTGATTGCTCAGGATTCAGTTATATGGATTTTTCTTCAAATATGATGGAGGGGACATCTGTAACCTTACCTCTTTACAAGTCTCTGTACCTGTTTGTAGGGGTGAAGGGGAGTACACTGGTAGGCTCTGCTTCATGCCACTTTCTCCCCAGTCTAACTGTGACTTCTGAGTGTAATCCACAGTAAGACAGATCTCATAATAAGTGAGAATATTTGCCAGAGGTGAAATATTCATAACCTGTTAGGAGTCAAGGCCCAGGATTCATTTTTGGCTTTGCCAGTAACTCCGTGTAACTGTCCCCCATAACTTGAATAGATTCACTCTCTAATGTAGACTTTTTTCTTTCCTATTCCAAGAATTTAAAAATAACCCTTATTTGTCATATGACTGCTGTTATCTGCTGTACTCCTAGTTCAGTTCCATGGCTTCAGGCCACTGTGCACCCAAGAAGACCATGTGTCTTCTTGAAGACACAACTTTGTTTTCCCTACACAACAATGTCTTGTGTAGTTGTGTTTTCTTTTGGTAGCTGTCAGATGTGCAATTGAATCAAATGAATCATTGGGTTCTATTCTGAAGAGTCTATCCGGTTGTCAAGAGCCTCCTTGGGCTTTCTTTCAGACACTGAAATTTCCTTCCTCGGCAGCCTTTTGTGTCTACGTTTCATCTGGGTTTACAGGCTTCATTTGATGCAGATGTGACATCCTGACTAGGGTAGGACCACCTTATGCTGTGTCCCACTGTGTGATCTGCAAAGAGACCACAAGTTTCAAAGTAGCAGAGAAAAGACCCATGTGAAGCTCTTCCTCAGTGTTCTCTCATCTAGGGAACTGGAAGACCTCTGTCGAGAAAGCAGACGTACCTCTCGGAGGGTGGAGTTCCTTCATGTGGGGGTTTCTTCTCCGGGTTCAGTGAGTCCTCAATGCTGCTGCTACTGCAGGAAGAGTAACGGAGAAGAGAGCACAATATGAGCCAGTGGGACCCTCAGGTCCTTCGACCAGCAGGAAAAAATGATGAGTTTCACTTCTTGTACATAGGTGTGGGTTTTATATGGGAACTTCCAGGAGCCCAGACTCTGAGGAAATCAGAAACTAAATGTGCTGGCTAGTTTTATGTCAAGGTGACACAAGGTAGAATCATTTGAGAAATAGGAACCTCAGTTGAGAATATGCACCCATAAGATCAGGCTGTAGGAACGTCTGGAGGGCATTTTCTCAGTTGGTGATTGACATGGGAGGGCCCAGCCCTTTGTGGGTGCTGCCATCCTGGGCTGGTGGTCTTGGAGAAAGCAGACTGAGCAAGTCATGGGCAGTAAGCAGCACCCTCCATGGCCTCTGCATCAGCTCCTGCCTCCAGGTCCCTGCCCTGGTTGAGTCCCTGTCCTACTTCCTTCAGTGGTGGACTATGATGTGGAAGTGTAAGCTAAATACTTTTCTCCCCAAGTTGCTTTGGTTTTGGTGCTTGGTCCCTACAATAACTCTGATAAGGGCAGAAACTGGTACCAGGATAGTGGGTATTGCTGTGACCAACCTGACCATGTTTTGGGGAGGACTGTGGAACCCTGGGTTAGAAAAGCCACTGAGTGTCCAAAGCTTGGGCCATTCTGTGGGAGCGTGGACAATAAGAACGCTGAGAAGAGTGCGGATAATGGAGGCCTGGCCTGGGAAGTTCCCGAGGGAAGTTTGAGAGCACGTCCTTAATGACTCCTCTAAGGGCTTTTGCATATTCTGAGTTGAGAATCTGTGGTTCTAGTTAGCTGGGCTGAAATATCAGTGGTGATTAGTAAGGAACCAGAAGTACTGAACTGAAACTTTTGTTTTGCTGAGGTACTTGATGCTGACCAGCTGTGGCTGAAGAAATCAGCTCCGAAAAGAGAGCTGCATCACTGAGGTGAAGTCTGGTGGGAAGTGTTTCTTCTGATTCAACACGCAGAAGCTGTGTTCCAGAAGTGGCCAAGGCTGTAACTCATGCTGGCAGCTGAACTTGGTAGTATAAGAGTCACCCAGGTGCAGTGGTAGGTCATGGAGAACAGCTAACGCCTGGCACTGTGAGGCAGGGCTGCAGGCCCTGAAGAGAGCCTGGAGAGGCTGTTGGTGAATGTGCAGCCCAGTTGCAACTAGAGACCCTGGTACTTTTGGAGATTCCAGTACCATGAAATGAGCACCAAGGACAGCAGCGGCTGGAGCGTGGAGCCAGCTAGAGCCTTGAGGAGACAGCCGTGTGTGCTGCAGAGGGTAGCGCTGGAGAAGCGGCCCAAGCACGCTGGAGGACCCCAGAAGATGGTGAGTGGATCCAGATACTGGATACTGAGTTGTTAACAGTTGGAGTTTGGTTTTGCTTTGATTTGATTGTGACTATGCCCTGGTTCTTCCCTCTTGAAGTAATATGTACATTTATTTATTTTATAGTCACCCAAGATTGAGACATTGGATTTTTTTAAAGTTTCAGTTTTAGAAGAGACTGGGTGTTTAAAAAGACTGAATTTTTAAAGACTGAGACTTTTAAATTCTAGGGTGTTTTTAATATAATGTAGATATTAACATGTGATCCAGAGGATGGATAAGAAAGGAAAGGTTACAGCTTACTAGGGGTAGGCTTGTGTATCAGGTTGACAAGGGATCAACCATGCTGGTTAGAGAGGTAGGTGGGTGGTATTGCACCGAAAAGAGGAAGTACCTTCCTGCATGGCATCAGATCAGAAAGCGAGCAGACAAGGGGATCATGAAAGAACATGGAGGCTAACAATGATTTTCTGTCACCTAACTACACAGAAAACCTGCAAACCCTAAATCATGCATTAGGAGGCATCTGCAGTATGCCTTCATTCACTGGATTACCCAGTAGCTACTCTCCACTGAGTCCTGAATGAAGAAATGGGATGCAGGAATGAAGGCAGCATTGGGCCTGGTACAGGCTATGACAAAGCAGCTGACGCTTGTTCTTACCTGCCATAGTGCGAAAACACTGGCTTTCCAGAAGCCACTTCAGTAGCATCCATGTACTCCTTCACGAAGAGAATTCCTTTGCTGTAGAAGGAGCATATCAGAATAGGATGTGTACTCGAAGATTTCAGGGGACTGGGCCTGGCCCAAAGAGGAGGGCCAGTGCCCCTGCCCAGTTTGATGGAAATGCAGAAGCTCACGAGAAGGGTAGAGGGGCTAGTGGGCTCCACAAGCCAGGCTGCAAGGGTAGCCGCAGACAGAGATGCAGGCTGTTGATGCCATTGGACAAGTGGCCTCAAATCTTAGGCCCTGGGTTCATTTTGTGTATGGTTTGAGAGATGTAAAAGATGGCTCCCTGAACCAATGGTAGCACACCCTCTTCCATGGAAGCTCGAGCCCCCAGCCCTCTCCCAGACTTGGGTGTTGCCGGCCCTCTGCTTTCTTCTACCTCTTCTGTGGCTGAGTCTCCTTCTACATTCCACCCACAATCAGAATGTTGTCAGTGGCTGAGCGACAGATGGCTGGTTCTTTCCACTCAGCACCTTACCTGCAGCATTGACCTGCTACTTCATATTTCCTTATCAATCATGTTCTGGGGACCTACAAGTCACCTCACTCTCTGCTTTTGGGGAGCCTTCCAAGCTTTGGAAACTAGTTCTGCTTTATCATGGTTCAGTGTAGTCCCAATGTTGACCTGCAATTCCATGCTCCTGACCCCTGGCCTGATATCAGCAGAGAACTGTTTTGGTATCTCAGCACATACCTCTTATTCAGCAGGGTACCTAGACTGGCATCCCTTCTTGTAGACTAAGAGGTGAAAGAGTGGGGGAGAGAGAGAGAGAGGGAGAGAGAGAGAGAAAGAGAGAGAGAGAGAGAGAGAGAGAGAGAGAGAGAGAGAGAGACAGACAGACAGACCTGGCCTCCCTGGCTTTCATGGGTCTTCCCAGGCATGTCCCTCAGGGATGCTAGCAAGGCCCTGCAGATGGCAAAGCCTTGCCACCAGCTGCATCTCCTAGTGTCCTATAAGTAGCTTCTTGTTGAGATGTGGAGAAGGAAAGCATGCTACAGGACCATGTCCAATCCTACCAGTACGCTTGGGAAGTATAAGGTTTATACTTGCGCAACTAAGAACTGTACTATATCTGTCCATTTGCTACTGGGATGCCAGGAGTTGAAGGAGACCTCATAGAGAAAGCAACACAGAAAAAAAGTGACATCCTTTACTTGCAAGGAGGTTATGGGGAACCTCCATGAGTAAGAACATCACAGCTTAGTTGCCCTTCTTACGTAGTTGAGCTGCAGTCCAGCTCACTTGAGGCAGTTGGCATACGCAGCTCTTCAGAAGCGGCAGCAACATTAACAGTGACCGCGAAGCTTGAAGGGCTCTGCAGCCTGGTAGAAATGGAGAAAAGAGTGAGCTTGGCTCTACTTTCTGAGTTAAATAGTGCTTTATGGACTAACCTCAAGTTTGCTACTTCAAGGCCTTTGAAAGCATGCCAGTGTTTGGGTAACAGTAGCTGCTCTTGAATGTTCCTGAGAGATTAGTGAGTGGAGCCTCTCTCTATGCAGATGAGAAAACCCAGGTAGGATGGGGAGAGACACTGCCTAAATCAAAATGATTCAGGGTGAAACGTCTTTCAATCTCTACTGTGATTTCTGGACTACAGCCTAGAACCTTGGCATCAGTAACGTATCCATCAGGCAGCCAGGAGGGAGCAGCCAGGGCAAACAGTATAGTGTGCTAGTTCGGAAACCAGAAAAGACAGTTTTTCTGCAGGATTAACTCCCTCGCCCCACATCAAACTCCCTGGAGAACTGCAGGCCATGGGAAGAGAGTTGGACTCATGCATTAATGGGAAGGTAGGTAAGATGCACCTCATTCTGCAAGACACCAGTCACCTTGGCTGCAGCACATGGCCCTGGGCCTGGATGTCAGCACCTAAGTAGCTCTCGAGGCCTTTCTTTGGCCAGCCCTTACTGACTCAGCATGCATAGCACAGTGATTAACAGTGCAGGCTCTAGACTCTTGCTGCTGTGCATTCGAATTCATGTTAGGACCCTTCATACCGAAACAGTAAGATCCAGGAGTTACGAGAGACCCTGTCTCAAAAAATAAAGTAGAGAGGCTGGGGAGAATAAAATGTGATGACTGAATATGCAAAAAATCTAGGCAATGTGGCAGTCATCTATGACCCCAACACCGGGGACGTGGAAATAGGGGATCCCTGGGGCAAGGTGGCTAGCTATACTAACAGGAATTGGCAAGCTCCAGGTACAGCAAGAGACCCTGTCTCAAGAAAAAAAATTATCAAAGATAACTGATGCCAATTTCGACCCACATACATGCATCTGCACCCACTTTGTATGTGCACATGCAAACACATGCACACACCACACACATACCCATGCAAAACATTAATAAAGTGGAGAGAGATAAACACACCTGGGCTCATCCTCTGGCCTCCACATACCCATAGATGGGTAAGCATGTCTGCATACACTTAACACACATGCACACACAGACACACACACACGCACGCACACACACATACAAAGGATGCCAGCAGTAAAGAGACAAAAAAAAAGGAATAAAGAAGACTTCCCAGTATCTGCAATGTAAACAGCAAGAGGTCTCCAAAGTTCTTCATCCTTTCCAATGACTCCTCTCCCTAACCTACAAGGCCTGCCTCTGGTCACCTTCCTCTATTCCTATCAGCCACAGGGCCCTTCTTTCAGGCCCTCTTTCCTCTTCCCTCCCAGCTGCTACCGGCCTTCCCTGTTTAACAACACTTTGCCTGACCCTCTTGGCCCTAGCGCAGGATTTTCCTAGGCTGATAACAAACAGAAAAACAGTATGCACACCTTGGCGATTAACAGTGCAGGCTCTGGCCTCTGATTGTATCCTAATTCCTGTTAAGACTCTTGGAACTGAGAAACCCGGGAAGCAAAGGTGAGAACAAGACAGTGGGTCAGAATCAAGTCGGAGGGCAGAATAGCCAGGACAGCCAGGAAAAATAGAGAAAAGTCATACTAGACTTCGAAAAATAAAGAGTTTTTTGTTTGTTTGTTTGTTTTTTGTTTTCCAATGAGAAAAAATATTGTATAAGCACCCTTGGTGTAGCCAGGCGTCAGAAAGCTCCCACTCTGACCATCTTGGTGGGGGTGGCAGCCTTTAATTATGGCAATATGTTTCAACCACAACCCCATGAATGCAAAACTCCCCCAAGCCCACATTTTCAGGCTTCAGTGGCTGCTGCACTGCAGCCCTGTTCTGACATATGATGCAATGACTCTTCCTCGCTCACTCCGCTTCCTGCTGCTCTCTAGCCCCTCAGGCCTGTGCCGTGTGTGTGTGGGGGGGTGGCCAGTGCAGGCTCTTACTTGGTATTATCCAGTTTCATTTGCTGCTCGGGTCCGCTGGGGCTGCTCTGTGGCTCTGGAGTGCTGGGATCTGCAAGTTCTTGACTAGACACAGCTTGGTCCCCTTGGCCACCTTGTAGGACCTCAGGTGTCTCCTGCCAGGCCTCACATATCTTGGGGGTCACATTTTCACAGGCCGCCGGAGTGCTGAGAAAGTATATATTATGTATATGTTATGTATACATGTGTGTGTGTGTTGTGTGTGTGTGTATTATGCCAAGAGGAGCAGAAGCCTGACCTTGCTGGGTCTCTGGGGTCTGGCTATCACTTCCCAAGGGCATTGGGTAACCCATCTCAAGAGCCAAGCAGACACCTAACTCTTAGAAAGCAGGCAGTATCAAAGTGGCAATCAGAGGAAAAGGTTTGGTTTCCATGGCTTCAGTCTTTACTAATTCTTCCATTTATCCAAACATTTACTTCTTGGTACCACACCCAAATCATCTTCATTTCCCCAGGCCCTCCAGTATTTTCCTTCAAACTTCTGGCCTAAATGGCTTCGTGTCTCTCTGATTTTTACCGTTGATGGTTAACCTTGACTGCCACTTGATGGGTTTAAAGGCATTCCTCTGGGCAGATATATGGGGGGGGGGGGTTCCTAGAGACACTGACTCAAGGAAGGAAGGTTCTCCTTGAATAGGGGTGGCAGCATGAGTTGGGACGCTGAACTGAATAAAACAGTCAAAAGGAGGTGCAGAGCTGAGCGGCTATGGGAGAGACTCAGCATATGTTTCTTGCTCAATATTGTTTGTTATATTTATTATTTGTTACTATTGTATATAGTTGTATTTGGTTTGGCTCTATCTTATTTAGACAAAAAGGGGAGATGTAGGAGAGACTCAGCCAATCACCTTACTTGTAGGGCGGGGTCCCCCGAGGATATTTTTTTACTTATAAAGATTGCAGGCATGCTCCCTGCTGCCACTTCTGCTTTCCTGTTCTCTGAGGGAACCTCTGGTTCTGTAAGTCTATTTCCCAATTAAAGCTGTATATATTTATTACAATTTCTGTCTGCATTCATTTACGCCGTTACAAGCGGCATTCAGCTTGGCTTCCCGATTGCACTCCCAGTGTGAGCTGCTGTCCCATGCTCTGATGCCTTCTGACCATACCGGACTGTTTCCCTCAAGCTGGGGGTCCAAATCAATTCTCCTGTTGAGAAACTGCTCCTTGCAGGTGGCCACCGCAAGGAGAAAAGCAATTAATGGAACTTTTTTCCCATTTCATGTCCTTGCTTAAGACTTTAGAAGAGAGGACACTCAATTAGTGCCTCTGTTTTTCTCATTTCGAGTTAAAAAGAAAATAGAAATGGAGAGAAACACCTACCGATGAAGTTTGGGAGCCTACAAGTTTGGAACCAAAGGGCAGGCTCCCTTTATATCCCTGAACCACATGGATTTTCCCATCAAGCTGATAGCGACAGCTATCCAGACAACTGGGGATTTTGTAGAAAAACAACAGACCTGTTCTCGAACACTCCCTTCACGTGTAATCTATAAGCTAACAAACCTCGACACTCTAGACAGAGGTCACATCTTTACTCTACTCCAGCCTACTGGGCTGACCTGTCACCTGGAGCCCCTACAGGCACTTCAAAGTCAGCAAGACCAATGACCTGAACATCGCATCTGCACAGCAACTCCTCAAGCTTCCGCATCCTCAGCTAGTTCCTTTCCGCATCCACCCTGTCACCGCAAACAGAAATCTGGGCACTGCCTTTCTAGCGCCATTGCTTTTAATTAAAGTCAGCATCACCTGTAGCATTGCAGCTCACCTGCAGCCTGAGCCACAACCTCGCATGGGTCTCCTGCCTTGTGCGCTGCACATCTCCCAGACCTGACACCCCATGCAACTTATCTCCAACATGAAACCAAGTTGGTTGGCCCTCTGGCTCCTCGGGAGCAAGTGATTGCCTAGCACCTCCCAGTGCTTCTTGGCAGGCCACCAATTAGTTTTCATTCCTTGTAGTCTCCCCTACCCTTTGCCTCTGGTTTCCTCAACCTGGAATGCCTTCTTCAGCATGTCTATTGGGGGGAAATTCTCCTTAGCCTTCAAACCCAGCTCCATCCTCAAGCTTCCTGGAAAGAAATGCCCATCCATCACCAAAGGAAAGGACAACAGGACCAATCACCTTCTCCTGCATCTGTAGGTTGTGCTTTTTAAAGCTTACTTCAAAATTTTCTGTTGTTTCTTCATTGTACCTGGTACTGTGTCACAGAAGGACAATTTTTTTAAAAAAATTTAAAATATAAAGCATTTTGTATACTGAGCACATTTCGCCGGTTTCCTTTCTATTTCATGCCACTGATTTTGTGTACCTTTTCTTTCTTTTTAAAAAAAAAAACCATCTAGGAACCATAAAAGAGAGAAAACATGATTATTTATCTTTCTGGGACTGGCTTAGTATGATGACCTCCAGTTACACCCCTTTTCCTGCAAGTGATGTAACTTTTTTTATGGCTAAAAAGAATTCCACTGTGCACATGGAGTGCATGTCCTTTATCCACTTCTCTGAAGCTGGAGACCGAGGCTGCCTCAATCCCTTGACTGTTCTGAATAGTAGGCTTCAGGTTTTATCACACTGAAGGAAGAAGCCACATGTATGAAGTTGTTTAATCAATGTCCTTGCTCAACTGTACCTTCTCCTGTCTCCCTGGTTCCTAGAGTCTTGACTCTTCTCAGTATCTCTGTCTTCTCTGAGGAATCCTTTGCTTTGCTCCTCATGACTGCCTAACACTTTTGTTTGCACCCTAGAAATCACCAAGCAGCACAAGGACTCTGCATGTAATGGTCTGCGTGCGTGCCCAGAGATGTGTGGGCTGGCAGGCGAAGAGCATTCTCGAGAGCCTGGCCTTCATAGTCACCTCTATCCCAGTCCCAGTCCCCATCAGTCATGCGGGCACAGACACCAACACCAACATTCTTCTTCACCCTTTCTCTCCCTTCCTCACAGTCTATGGAACTCATACTCTGGGTCATACTTTGACACCATCATTGTATAAATGAAAATAGTCTTCACCATCCCTAGGACCCCACACACAGACACTCTGGGAGACAGACTTCCCTCCTGCCTCGTGCACTGGGAAATGGCCAGGCTTCTTGCAGTGATCACAGCCCCATCCCAGCTTCCTAATCCCAGGAAGTTGTCAGTGCTGCCTGAGAAAAGAAGCCAGGCAGTGGCTGGGCCAGTGTGTCACACAATGGCCTGGACTGAGAGAAGCAGATCCCTCCTACCGCGTGGCCATCACACACACCTTGGCTACAGGCATCAGAAGGCCAGGGTAAGACCTTACCTGCTGGTACGGGCCTCAGATGGGGCGAGCTGACTGAGTACACTGAAGTTGTTCCCCAGCTCCAGGGTGCTGGGATCTGCAGGCTGTTGAGGGGCCACAGCTGGGTCTCCCTGGCTGCCTTCTGTAGTACCATATGTCTCCTGATAGGCCTGGATGGTCATGGGAGCCATGTTCATCTCCCCATCAGCTGAGGGGCTGAGGAAGAAAAAGTATCATAGAGAGAGAGTCCCAGGGGACTGTTCCACCTCACTCTACTGGCATCTCCCATGGCCAGAGGATGGGATACTCTCATCTAAAGAGAGGAGCCAGGTACTGCTGCTCCCTTGTCACTAAAAGTAGTGTTTGTGACCATGGGGCAATGCCTGAAGCACCCGTGCTGCACACTCCATGGCAGGGGCCACAGGAAAGGCAGCAGACGCCCTTAGATGGTGTTCCCCTCCTCCCACCCTCCCTTGTCTTCAAGCACTGAGACTGGGACCCTGGTATCCCAGCATTCCCTCCTGAGTCCCTCCTAATTCCACCCTCCCACAAGAGAAGAACATGACCACTATCCCTGGAACGCATCTGTGCACATCAAGCCCATAGCAGGCAGGGCTCTAAGCCGCTGTATCAAAAAGAATGAGTGGTAGCCATGATTTTCAGCCTCAGGTGAGGAGAAGCTAAAACCCCTCTGCAGCGAAAAGAAAGCAACTGTCACATCCAGCTCTATCGGGAAGAAGCAGTAGTAGAAACAGAGGTTGTCCTGGTCAAATGAGCCAACAGAACAAAGACTCTCCAACACTAAGCCACTGCAACTTCAGGAGCTGTAAACTTTATAGGTCATGAAAAAGAGCGAGCAGCCAGACACGCCCAGGAGGCCCTTCTGTGCAATGTAGCATCCGGGAGGAGGTGTCTTAGTTTCCTGCTGAGCTGCTTGCAAGTCCGGTGGGCCAAGAGAAAATAGCAGCAAAGGAGGCCTTTGAAGGCCTCTGAAGCCTGCACAGAATCTGGTGGTTCAAGACAGCCACTGCCAACTCTTGACCTAGCTACACTCTGCCTGGAAGACAACGTCACTCTCTACATATGCCTCCTTCCACAGTGTAACTCACTGCCTGGCAACACTTGCTAGCAGTGAGACCCTCTCATGTAGGATGCAAACTAGAAACAACTCGGGCTAGAAGGAAAAAGGCAAACAGTGTGTTATTAAATGACTGAATAAATGGATAAAATAAACCGGCAGTGGGAAAGCGAGGCGAGCTCTCTGGAGTCTCGTCGGATAGTTTCTCTACAACTACTTCCTTTAGCTTGATGGTTTTATAAAATGAGTATTTGATAGTATTTTGTGACTCCCCAAATGTCCTGTGTGCTTTACATATGTAAACCCATTTATTCTCTTTAAAGTCTATATAGTAGGAGCTATTTCTGTTATTGTTCCTGTACAAGCTGAGCAGCACGCCAAAGGTCCCAGAGAGTTAAATCAAAGCTTCAGAATCCAAGCTCTCAGCCCTCTATGCACAATCAAATGAATACTGGGCAAAATCCCTCTAGCTTCTGACAGTTAAATTAACTCTATGACCTTGGCAAAGTTTTGCCCCGTGGCTGGTCCTGACCTCATGCTCCTCAATTAGTTTGTTTATCAAATGTATAGGGAACTGTGAAATTACACAGTAGAGTCCCTGTCCAGGAGAGAGAGGTCAGTCATGAATGACCTTGAGGTCCAGCCAGTACTGTAGTAACCCCTGCAAACAGCCCAGGTGAGGCCAGCCACAAATTGGCCACTGTAGCCAACCGCACCCTCCCCACCCCACCCCCCACGCAGAGATGGTGGGGGGGATGGGATGGGCAATGGGCAACCAGGATCATTTGTGATCCTCCAGCGCTATCTTGTGGCTGGCACAGGAACTGCAGCAGGAGAAATCTTGACGCTAGTCTCTGGAGCAGCCATTTCGCCTTTCCTGCTGTCTCATACCCCAGCTAGCTAGTGGCTGCAGGAAATGGCTGCGCGAGTAGGCGAATTCACACCCAAGCTCTGGCCTAGACACCCACGCGCAGCGCATCATGCGCATGCGCATAGCCGCAGGCATAGCACCAAATTGTAGACCTGCGCAGTTGAAGTATGCGGCAGTCTAATTAGAATAGGTACAGGCGCACGCGTTCTGTACCCGCGGTGCGTGTTCGAGGCAGTCTGATTGTACCCGTGGTTCACTTTGACATTTTCAGTGTGTGTCCCCGAAGAGATGGTAATAGAAGAAGGCTTGTCATCCTTAATACAATGAACATTGTAGACTGGATAAAGCTAGTGTGTGCTTTGAAAAGAATCAGGCAACATTTTCACTTGTTTAGCAGCGCCCAGATTCCTATCCTTTAGAACCCACTCTTGGCTGTGACATCCAAAAATAACTCGGCTTATTATGAGACCACACAGGAAGGTAGGGGGTAGGCAGAACAAACCTCTGATTAAGAATTGCTCTCCTAGTAATTAAAGGCATGGTGGCACACACCTTTAATCCCAGCACTTGGGAGGCAGAGGCAGGCGGATCTTTGTGAGTTCGAGGCCAGCCTGGTCTACAGCGCAAGTTCTAGGACAGGCTCCATAGGTACAGAAAAACCCTGTCTCAAAAAACCAAAACCCAAAACAAAACAAAAGAACTGTGTGTGTGTGTGTGTGTGTGTGTGTGTGTGTGTGTGTGTTTGCATGTGTACCTGCACATCTGGAGGCTAGAGGACCACCCCAGGTGTTACTCCTTAGTTACAGCATCAACTCCTTTGAGACAGGGTCTCTCACTGGCCTGGAGCCCACCAATTAGGTAAGACCAGCAAGACCCAGAGAGTCTCCTGTCTGCATTTCCCCGATGCTGGGATGCCAAGCGTTTTGTGTGAGTTCTGGAGGTGGAATACAGGTCTTAGTGCTTACACTATAAGCACCTTGCTAGCTGAGCAATCCCCTCAGCTCCCTACTTCTCTTCTCAGGAATGATCTTCTCTTTCTTAATAAACTGTATCTACTTCTACTTCTATCTCCCTGTTTCTATTCTCATTGCTCGAGAGGCTGTCGGTTTCCACTCTCCACTAAGCTATCCCAAAGACCCCTCCTCTGTCGCACTGATTTGTTAGTCAATGAGGGCTCATTGAAAGCAGGAGCACATCTTCGTTGTCTGTGGCCCAAGTGCCACACCAACAACGGAAGGAAAGTGACCTCGCTGGACTAGAGAGTGCTTCATTGCAAGCAATGGTATGTAACGGAAGGCTTCCTGGCACAGACAGGCCAAAAAGTTCCAGCTGGATCTTTTGTCTCTTCATATATTTCAGGCCAGCTCACAGACATAGCTGGCTTCATCTTCCTAGCCAAAGCCTGATAGCTACCCAAGCCGCTGGGTTTCTAGCACTGTCTGCTAATGCCTTACCCCTTGGAGTCTGTTGCACTGTTGCTCTTCTTGTCAGTCAGAAAAGAAATTATCATGGCGCCAGACCTGAGGGAAGAAAGCACAAAAGTCTGCTAAGGCTCAGAATGCCTTCTCAGGGGAAAGGGAAGGACTGAGTTTGTCAGTAAAGATTGTCCTGTCTTTGATTCCGCCAGTCACTGCCATTCCTAGTGCTGCCTGTCTGTCTCTCCCTGAGATTTCTTTCCCACAATCCAGCTGGTTGGGGCAGACTACAGTCTATACAGGAGGGGTTCACCGAGAGTGGCTGCTCAGCCCCCTTTTCCACAAATCTCCACCACTACCCCAAGTGGGTGCATGTAGGTTGGTGCTGATATTTCTGGGCCAACAAACTCATCACATGTCCCTCTTGTAGTACTTTCAATGGCCGGGACACAGTTCTGGGTCAGCCCCCTAGCAGGCTTTCGGTCCAGCCATGACTATTTGATGGGGCAAAGGTCTGAAGATAAGGGGATCCTTGGCCACTGGAACTGAGAAAGCTGGGAGGGCTCTGTGTGACAGCAGGGTCAGTTCCTGAGGTGCTGGCTGCACAGTCACTCGGACCTAGAAAAGGAGTGAAGCCAGCAGCTGAGTTCAGCCCGTGGAAGGGGAGCAAAGCTAATCTGAGGTCACAACTCTATGGCCCTAGCAGACGCTGGGCAATGAAGAAAGAGCTGCTCACGTAGATGCTTGGGGGAGTAAGACTCACTTTCATCCCCAAACAGCCCGTTATCTGGGGTAGCATAATGTGGACTCAAACCACAGTTTTGATGCCTCTAAGCTCTGGGATCTTGTTTGGTCATCAGTTTTATCAGTTAATAAATTATGAATGATAATCATATCTGTCTCATGAGCATTCTCAGTTCATAGCCAGCTACTTTAAATAACATTTGGGTCATTGCGTCTGCGAACATGTTCTCCACTCCTGTTGAGCTCTATCTATGGTCACCGTTAAAAGCATAGCTCCTTTACAATCCATCTGTATCTGCCCAGTGGATCTGGTATAGCACTCTCTTACCTAGGCTTCCCGGACCTAGGCCCCATCTTCTTTCCTGGCAGACTGATGCTCACAGTGCACCCATCACTTACATAAGCCCCTGCCTTCCGTATGAACAGAGCCCTTTATGTTGGCTCCTAAGCCTGCTTATGTTAGTTGCGCAATTATAAGAACCAAATTCAACTAATGAGTAATCTCATACAAATGACTGGGAAAGGAGGGTAGTGCTTTCCAGGAGGGCAACTTACAGTCTGGAAAGATTGTAAACCATTTTCTTAAAAACAAGCAAACAAAAAGCAATTGGGTGGGAGGGATGGCTTAGATGATGATGAAGAGTTTGTCTTATAAGCCCAAGACCTGGCTTCAATTCAATGCCCAGGACTCATATGCAAAACAAAAAGCCAGATGTGGAGGTGTGCATTTGTGAGCCCAGCACAGTGGAGGAAGAAACAGTCAGACCCCTGGGGATTGCTAATTGGTAAGGCCCAGGTCCTGGTATGAGACCCTATCTCAAATCACAAGGTGTATGGTGCCTAAGAAACAACACCAGAGGTTGATCTCTGGCCTGAACACACATGCACACACATAAGCATCCACATGAACACACATACACTTGTACACACAAAGTCAAAACTAGTATAAGACGACTGTGACGGACTATAATAAGCATCCTACAAATCTAGAAGATTCTTCATACTAGTTTGCAAATGACTTTGAGGTTTCGTCTTACTCTAAGGAAATGGATTTGTTTTATGAGGAGTTTGGACTTAATTTCAAGTTAGAGGGGGGCCACCGGGAACTTGAAAGTGGGGATAAATGTATCCTGGTTCATTTTGGGAAGATTTTCTGACGTCTGCACAGACAGCAGAATGAACCAAGTCCATGACCCAATGGCCTTTCCTAGACCTGCTCAAAAGCAGATTTTAGAGGTGGTGCCTACTATGTCTGGTTCCAGGCACCCACTGCAACTAGTTAAGTTAGTGAGAAATCCAGTTGGGGAAGCAGCCAGAAGAGCATCCTCCCAGGATCCTTCTGGGTAGACTTCAGGAGGTCATGGGGCTGGGCTGGCCCTCTAGCAGTTTCAGCTCTCTACAGACCAACCATAATGTTGTTAGCACAGTTTGAAACTGTACTATTATTTTGCCAACATCTGTATAACTAGCCTTTGTCTCCGGGGATGATTCCTCAAATCACCCGCTAAGAGTGGCTCCTGACTCAGCCAGGGCTTCTTTCAATGACTCTCAGAACATTTGATCAGGGAAGAGTGCGAGGCAAGCAAGAGATGGAGGGGCTTCTTCCTCTTCTGGAAAGGGAGAAAGAGACAAAGGGACCCTAGATTTGTCTTCAGAGCTCAGCCATGAAGGAAGAAGGCACTGATTCTTCCATTTTTATGTCATTTGTTAGTTTGTTTCTTTTAGTTTATTCCACCCAGGACCGGTCCTTGCTGAGGGCTAGGCCTTTAGCTGGGAGTTAGTGCCTTGCATTTGCTCTGGAGGAATCCGAGAGTCAGTGATAGAGGTGTGGCAGTGGCTAGACCGAAATGGAAGTAAATCCAAGAGCAGAAAATCCAAGAGCAAAGGATGGGGGAGTACCGGAGAGAGGAGTCCCGATCCCAGCAGTGCAAGCAGTTTGGCTGCTTGAACCTGGTCTGTCACAGGGATCTGTGAGAACTGTCTCCCACTAGAATCTTACCCTTTTTGCTCTGCACCCGCACCTGCTCCAGCCAAACCTTCTGGTGGGGATTCTGGGGCTTCTGGTTCCTCGCTGCCACCACCCAACTGTGCAGCTGATCTGATATTGGAAGAGAAGCATTTGTTGACTTTGATCAGGCGCAACCTTGTGTAATTTTGATGTCTTGAGTGTATGTCTGATGACTTGGGAGCAGAAGTCCTTGCTTAGCTCCCTAAACTGCTCTGATCAGAGTCAATCCAAGCCTAAGTGGACTCTTTCAGCAAGTATTTCTGTTTCACTCAAATTTAATGGGCAAGGAACATGAACAGAAACCAAATGAGCTAGAAACTCAGGGGGAGGTAGCCACATTAGTGGCCAATGCTCACCAGAGCAAGAGACAGGGAATTGGGGTTGCTAGCAAGTCAGAGAGGGCAGACAGAAAAACTTCCCTTCCTCATCCATCTAAGGCCCCCTTCCCTCATTCTCAGGGTTCAGTCCACACTAGGGGTCTAGAGCTCCCAAATGAAAAGCGGGGGAGGGGGAGAATTGTGAGAGGGAGAGCCTGGTCTGGAGTTGGTGCCCCTCTGCAATTTGATATTTGGGGAAATACTACAGTTTTGCTCTCTCTAGGCCCCCCCTCTCTCCCCCTCAACTTTCCCCTCTGCAGACAGGTAGCAATAGTATAGTGCTGATCTTTAGTTCAGCTGCTGACTTTGGATCCAGGCCCATGGAAGTCCTTTGGTTGAGTGCACATGGGCTTTATATTCTGGGGAAGGTCTATTCACCGCAGTGAGTTACCTTTCCAAATCTGTGTTGCAATTCTTAAACTTAGCCTCCCAAGCTGAATCTCTGTTGAAGTCTTCAGAGCATGATGCTTCATTGGTTTTATGGGAAGGCCTGCAGAGGAAAGAAATGACTTAACTACTCCTCAGCCACCCACACTCTGATGCTCACCTCATCCTTAGATGTTGCTTGTCTCTTAGGTGCTGAAAATTTGCTAATGATGGGCTGGCCAACTCACAAATCCTCACTACTCCTCACTGGTATCGACTAGGGGCCAGACTCTATTCTTCCAACTTTCCACAGGTTAATTCTCCACATCAGTTTCAAGACATGGGTACTATTGCCATCCATGCGCGTTTTCCAGATGAGCCGCTTGATGCTCAGAAGGCCTGAGCCGGTGTGCTCCAAGTTCCACAAGTAACAAGAAGAGCTGGAGCCCAGGCATCTGCCCTCAACTTTCTAATCCTAATTCCTCATCAGGGAGCCGTGTTATCAAGTCCAGGAGTCAGTCTTGGCATTACTCTGGGTCACCCACCAGTGGGTCTCTCCCTCAGACTTCCAATCTCTCTTCCCTCAGCCCTGTGATACCCTCTGTTTCCCTGGTTCCATATTTCTGGTATCCTTTTATCTTCTCCACCTTATCTGTCCTTTACCAATTCATGTTCCAGTGTTCTTCCCTGTCCACATACTCCACCAACTGCTACTCACACTCCTTTCCTGCCATCATCTAATGACCTCCAAATGTCCCCAGGCAGGAACGTGGAAGTCAGACAGAAAGAAAGGTGGCAGAGTGTTAGGTGATTGATGATGGAGTGCTGGGTAATATTGTCATCCATGCCTGGTTTCCAGGTGTCCCACCTGATGCTCAGGAGACCAGAGAGCTGTGCTCCTTCGTCTGGGATCGTGCTGCTTCTCCCAGGAAAAGAGCTTGGACCTTTGTGCTCCTCATCTTAAGCACAGGGCACTGTGGCATTATAAACCATGGAAGCAGACCCAAGAACCCCACCCCAATGCCTTCTAAAATACACAGACCTTGGTTCTAAAATACACAGACCCAGTGTCCCCACCCAGTTTGGCTGGTTAGTCCTGTCACTTTCTGAGGACATGCTATGGTTGATCTTGTCAGAATCAGTAGTTCTGTCCCAGGGAGTTCCAGTTACCACTGGGTCTCAGGGCCAGGCTTTTGGCCTCACAAAAACCAAATACTCATTACATAATTATTGTTGAATAAAATATGGAGAGACTGGTAGAGAATGCAGATTGGCCACACCTTTTACCAACTAGTTATCCCCACAGTGCTAGACTGAGCCTCCTGCCTCCTACTCATCTTGAGAATGGTGCAAAGGGAGGCAGGACAGCAATGGGGCCTCAGTACCTCAGGGCTTCCAAGTCCGGGGCCACCAGGCGGAGTCCTGCTCTGGGGGTTGTGATCTGCAAACGGACGATCTCCTCAGTTTTCAAACTGCGGGCCAAAGGAGAGACTGGAGAATTTCTGGGAGAGAAGCTTCCTCTTTCCCTCTGTGTCAGCACCCAAGAGCATTCTCTGTCTGGTGCTTAGCTGCAGTGTGATACCCAGACCCATCTTCCCCACCTCTTTGCCCTCATCTGTTCTTTGTTTGAGTCTTCTTGGCACTGTAACTAATTTCAAGTCACTGATTGTAGGCGGGTGAAAGGGTATTGCCAGTCTCCTACTTGGAGCTGACTCTAGGCCAATCTTAGAAAGTACAGGGTCTTCTAGATGGACATTTGAACAGATGTGTCTGCTAAGAGGAAGCTGTGAAATGGGCTTGAAGTAGAGACGAGGGTCTGACATGGCTAGGTTGACATTTTAGAAAGGCCACCAGGGTATGGGAGGCAGCAACCTGAAAGTGAGACAGGCAGAACTTAGATGACCTGGCACTGTCACCGCAGCACTAGACCTTCCTAGGTTGCCAAACACAGCCAGTCAGACCAGCGGGAAACCATGTTACCAGCTCATAGTCCAGAGATGGTTCTTGAAACCCACCTGGGTTCCTGGCTTCCAGAGGGGCTGGGAATACTTGGTATACACCCAAGTAGAATTGCTTGAGACACGTGGGCTCTTCCTCCATTTACACTGGCAAAGAAGGCAGATGTGAGAAGTGCTGGAGACAACAGGCCTGCCCCCTAGGTGGGGTAAACTTGGCCAAGTTAGAGAAGTACCAGGAGCAAGTGTAAGAACAGGACGCCACTGCAGTGGCCCGTCTCTCACAGCTAAGGAGTGACTGTTACCTGCCAGAAACAGATCGTGCTAGAGCAGCGGGCTCCTGTTTTTTCTCGGGAGGCACATCCTCATCCACATCAACCCTGTGGGCAAGAAAAGAGGTCCCTGTGGTTTTCTCAGCTATCTTGATGCTTTTACCGGTGTCTTGGCCACTCCAGCTCAGGGGGAGTGGGTAGGACATTATCATTGGGCTAGTTCCTGGATCCCAGGGAACTTCATTTGGAAATAGGTTCTTAGGAGATATAAAAAGGTTAAGACGAGGTCCTGCTAAATTAGGAGAGGCCCTGAATCCAATGGCAATGTCCTTCTGAGACTAAGGAAATCTGGACACAGATACAATCGATGTGAATGAACAAGACATTAGCTTGGTGAGGCAAATACGATTTGTCCCAATCCTTCCAACACCCCAATTTCAGAGTTCTGACCTCCACTTCTGGGGTTTTAAAGCATTCTACCCCATTATTGAGAGCTAAGAAGCACCCACTATTCTCCAGTACTTTGTGCTGCCGCTCCCTGCTTTCTTGTCAGTGACTGTCACTCAACAGCACCCTATTTCCACTCCGCTCTTTGCTCTGCCTAGGTATTGGCCGGAACACTGGTTCCTCACTGACTTTCCACCTACAGCTTATTATGGATGCCACCTTATCTGGAAGGCCTTTGATGTCCACTCAACTAAAGGTCCCAGTCCCTCAGATTCACCTTCATATAAGTTTCTTCTCTATCTTCTATCCATCATTTTCCTCCGACAGAAATTGATCCTTGCCTCACTCAGCTAGTAGTCTCCTGACAAAGCAACCATTCCCCTTTTCCCCGTTTGCCCTAGAGGACCAATCCATAACATCCTCATCAACTCCTAGGGAGTATCTCTCGGGGTTCTGGGCAACAGGAGAGTACAGGGCAGGGCCAGAGCAAATGGACTCTTGCTATGACTGGGGAGGACAACTCTCTTTGCTCCCTGACAGGAGGCTCGCTGCCTGGCTAGCATTTGGCTCCTGAGGCTTCCCTTCCCTTGGTGATACTCACCTCTTTGCAATAAATGGGGCCTGCAGCTCCTGGGTAGGACTGCTAGAAAGGAAGCAGAGTGGTAACATGTTGGAAAAAGCTGAAGGGCAGGTGCCATCTTACAGCCTCTCCTGTTCCCAGTACCTCCTGATTTTATTCTAAGAAGTACATCTGAGACTCGCCAGAAGGTCAAAGCTGGAATACCCTTATTCTTTCACCAGTCAGAGGAAAGCCGAAACCCCAGTAGAGAAGGACCTCAGGTCATGGAGTCAGTAATGGCCAAGGCAGGCTCAAGCCCACGGGGCCTCATTCCTGGACAACTTACCTAGTGGACTTCTTAGCCGCTGAGAGGACATAAGAGTGTTCCCGTGGGGCCGTCTTCCTCAAAACACCACTTGCAGCTTGTGACCTGGGGTGGTATGAGGTGAGGGCATCTGACGTGTGTCAAACTAGCCACTCTGCCAGCCTAGCCTTGGAGATTCATGGACTGGCCCAGGAATACCCTCAGGGAGTTGAGGAGGGTAAGCTAGGATAGCACTGCTCTAAAAACTATTCAGAGGAACCATGGACACTGAGGGAAGGACCTTTTCTTAGGGAGCATGTAGCACATGTCAAGCTCAGCCCTGGATGCTGACATTCTCACACTGGTTCATCGATCCTCACAACCAGGCAAGTAGGTGCTGATATACTCCATAACTGATGGAGCCTGGCCACTGCTCTGGTTGTTTGCCTAAGTGCACACACCTAAGCAAGTGTCAGAATGGCATTCAATGTGAGGCACCTCCAGAGTTTCTTATTCATTCCCCATGGCCCTGCACTATCCAGATTTCAAAGCTCATGCAACTGTGTGCTCTTTTTGCACAGAAGTGCCATCCTTCCAGGCCTTCAAAAGGGACTGTCACTATGCTTCCTAAAGCACATATGAGCTGGCTGATGCTGGCCTTTAGTTGGGCTCCTCCGTTGTAAGCAAGGGGCACTTGAAACTCTGGAGACCATTCCTGCAACCAAACAACACTGCAAACACAATAAACCCAGAGATGGCGGGTGCAGACAGCCTTTCCCGGGGCACTTTACCCTGAATATTATTCAAGTTTCTTGAGACAGTTTGAATCTACATGTGAGCCTTATCCATAGTCCTGTGTTTCCTAGATTCTACCCATGCAAGGTTCTCAGGAGCGTCTCCTGAGCTGGCCCAGCACTGAGATGTTCACGAACTTGTGGAATGCCAACTGGACCTACACACCATGAGTGTCCTCACGGATTATGTGCTATGCACTTTGTGCTCTGACTGGTAGAATACTTTCCAGCACAGGCTCTGGCCCTGGCCGTACTCATGGCTATGCTTATAAAGGCTAACATTACCTCCGTCTCTGTTCATCTGAGGTGAAGGGCACCTCCACTTCCTCGGTCTCTGATGTGGAGCTGTGCCTGATGTTGTACGGTGCCCTGTGGGGGAGAGAAATAGTTATGAATCTTCTTCCTCCATGTCCTTCCTGTTCCCTGTTGCAAGTTACTCCCCTTAGCACCTTGGCTTCATGACTGCCAATGCCACTAACAGGACGATGGGGCAAGGAATAAGCTGTACAAGGATGTGGAGTCCTGGGAAGTGCTGGCACAATCCAGACATTTGTCCAGAGCTCTCCTCCTGGGACTGGGGCCCTTGGAAGGAACCTCAAGTGAAGCGAAGCTTTAGACACAAAATGCCCACAGCAATAGTCTATGGGGACAGTGACAATGTAAGAAACATCATGCCTCCGAGCATAGCTTAGCTGAAGCCAGTCCTGCCTGAGAACTTGAGACCTAAGAAGGGGCACAGGGATATATCCAGAAAACACAGACAGTGAGCAGCAGGCCTCATAGCCATGGCTCATTGTCCATTTTCTAGAATGTGCTCCTTCCAGAAGTTTCTTACAGCTTTTGCTTTGCCTCATATAATTGTATTAGAAATAGCCATTCAATTTTCTAGAGCTGTGTCACCCTCTGCTCCAGGCCACAGTTATAAGTGGCAAGGCTGTCAAGCCAATAAGACTAGATCTCCCCAGATAAGTGACTAGTTTAGAAGTAAGTGTCCATCTCCCCTCGATGGGTTCAGTGTCTGGGATCATTATATACTTACAGTTTCTTATAATCTTCCGTAGTCATCTTATAAGCAGAGGAGTGCGGAGCAGAAGCAGAATTAGCTGCTCCTGGCAGTCCAGAAGCACTAGAAGAGCAAGACATTTCCATCTGCCCAACCACAGGTCAGCTCTTGCCTCTACCTTTACCCACACAGCCCCGTAGAGATGCGGGCCACTAGGAGATGTTCTTCCTTGTCGTCAGCCCTGCCAGGCACTTTGAGCATGACAGACCCAGCTCCATCACAAGGAAACAGCCCGCCAGGCTCTCATTTGCATAATGACTAATTGCAAGGTGTTTACATAACATGCCTCCTTGGCATAGTAGGAAGGTGAACTAAGCACATGACTTCAATATTCTCAGCAAGGTGCCAGCTGTGAGGCCAATGGGACATGGGGTAAGTAAAATAAAGGCCTGTGGGCACTAGGAAGTGGAGGCATAATCCACATCTCTATGCAGAGCTCCCCTCCCAGCCACTGCCCTTGGCCAGTGGCCAGAGCCAGGCAGGACATTCTCTTACTCCTCTGCTAGCCCTTCCTTGGTCTTGGCTCGGGACAAGACTCCCCCACCTTCCTATTGAGCATCTGGCCAGCATACAAAGGATGTACCTTCTTGGAGCTCCATTGGTCTTAGAGTGGTGCTGTTGGGAGTTAGATGAGCTGTCTATTGTTCGGGTGAACACTCCCCTACAAGAGACACCGAAAGGTATTGAGAAGTCTGGGTGTGGCCCTAGTGGTATGAGGATGCAGGTAGAGTCTTGAGTTCACTTACCGTATGATGTAACCAGCAGGAGCCTTTGTGTTCGGAGAACTGCCAAGAGAAAAGGAAACATGAAGGGAATGGCAGCTTCACTACAGAGCTCAGGCCACCGATTTTTACTGGTTCTCAACTACAGCAGATGGCTATCCCAGTATAGTGGTCAGGTGTATCCCAATATAGTGGCCAGGTGCCCACTTTGCTCCACCTAGCTTTCCTTCAGTCTCTCCCAGGAACCTTGCCATGGCTGACTCCACCCCAGCCATGCCCAGCATAGTCCTGGCTTACAACAGGGTGCCAGGCAGGCTTGCTCTATGGTTTAACATTTACTGCAGAGTTCCAGAAGTTTCTGCTTTTCCAGGCACCAGGGCCTCCTGGATCAGACTGAAAGTCCCTTGGTCAGAGCCCAGGCTGCCTCAGTCTGGGGCTGAAGCGAACAGAAGGTAATGCTCTTTGGCCTTCTCTTACCACTCCTCTGGCCCCTAGTGGGGCTGAAAGTGGAAAATGTTAGTTTCTGGGCACTGGGGCTTGCTATGTGTCAACAAAAGATGGTGTTCAGAAGACTTGGGGGGGCACTAGGGAGAGCATGCTAGAAGTAGTGAGGGGGTAATCTTGGGCTCAGGCAAGGCAATGAGGGCCCCTTCAAGGAGTTGGCGAGAGGACAGGTCTCAGCAGATCGTCCTATCCAGAAATATTAGAGTTCTGGGCTGGAATTGTGCAGCTAGGTAGGTCTAAGGGTACCACAAAGCCCTAGCTAGCATTTATTCCTATAGACTGTGATTTTATCAGGGAGCAGCTTCTTGGAGATAGCCAAGTTGCAGAAACATTCAAAGGGAAGCTAGTTAAGAGCACCGCCTGCTCATCTAAAGGTCCTGAGTTCAATTCCCAGCAACCACATGGTGGCTTACAACCATCTGTAATGAGATCTGGTGCCTTCTTCTGGCCTACACAATAAATAAATAAATCTTAAATAAATAAATCTTAAAAAATAATTGGGGCTGGATAGATGGCTCAGAGGTTAAGAGCACTGACTGCTCTTTCAGAGGTCCTGAGTTCATTTTCCAGCAAGCACATTGTGGCTCACAGCCATCTGTAATGAGATCTGGTGCCCTCTTCTGGCCAGCAAGCAGACAGACAGAATACTGTATATATAATAAATAAATAAATCTTTAAAAAAAACATTCAAAGGGAAGCCCAAAGAGCCTGTCTTATCCATGTATTTCAAATGACTCAATTCAGCCTCCCTATGTGCTCCCTATGTGATGTCCACCCCTCCTTGCAGCAGAAGAGCCTCTGGGGTCCATTTAAGACTCAGTTAGGTACCACCTCTTACCTGGCATTTGATCCCTCTCCAACTGATGAGGGTGTAGCGTAGTTTTGTCCTGAGGGAAGCGCTCTGTGGAAAGACAGGACTTGAATATAGTGGCTCCCATGCTCCCTGCCACCTGTTAACCTGTGGCTCCATCCCCAAACCGGCCTACTATGCACCATCACCACATCTTACCTTTTCCTCTCCCGACCTACCTTACAGGTGTGTGACCACACATGCCTCAGCATCCCATCTGTGGCTGTGTTCAGGCTTTACCCTCACCTGGTTGGTGACCCACAGCCTGACCTAGCTCTAAATGGTGGAATGTCCTCAGCATCCCTAGCTAGGGTTGGGTGCCATGCCCCCACCCTCAGTGTTGATTGCTGCCTTCCCTTCTGGACTTGCCTCCTGGACTTACACAGCATGGTCATCTGAGTCTTCGTGCTTAGTTATCCAGCTCTTGTCGCCCTTCAGTGTATTTCGCACTTTCATTTGCTTCAGGACATTTTTCTGCTCCTCTTCACTGGCTGACAAAGGTTTCCCTGGCAGGGGCAAACCTAAGAGCCTTAACGAGGGAACCCCAGCCCCTAGTCCCAGGGCCCTTGCCAGCCATCCCATTATGAAGTCATCCATCGGCTGCCTGGGCAACGTTCATGTCCCTCTAGGGGTTTGCTGGTGATAATTCAAGCAGACATGTAGCTCAGGCTCACCTTTTCCATTACCTCCTGAAGTGCTCATGATGTTTCGTTTTCAACAGAGTTGTAATGTTACTAGTGGATTCAGTGGGCTCCTGGGATCAAAGACAAACACAGATTTGTCAATACATGAATTTCTAATGGCTTATTGGTCACCTCTAGAGTGTGAATGTGGTGTGTCCCCTAAGGGCTCTTGTGTTGGAAGCTTGGTCCCCAAAGAGGTAGTGGGACTTTTGAGAAGTGAAGCTTGGGGGGATGTGGAAATGGCTCAGTCAGTGCTAGGCATAATAATACATCCTTATTGCTATCAGTGGGAAGGCAAAGATAGCAGGATCCCTGAGGCTTGCTGGACAGTCAGTCTAGCCAAATGGGTGAACTCTAGGTTTACGGAGAGTTCCTATTTCATACAGTAAGGCAGACAGTGATAAAGACCCCTGCTATTGACCTCTGATTTCCACATGTGCATATGAACATGTACACACAGGTCCATCCATACTCATCCCCTCTACCCACACACCCATCCCCATCCCCCACAAAAAGTAAGGTTCAATGAAAGGTAATTAGATCGCGGGGACGACTGTTGTATGATAGAATTAATGTCTTGGGAGAACTTGGTTAGTTCTCATGAGTGTTTGTCACCCAAAAGCAAGTCTAGTCCAGCTCTGTTTTCTCCTTGGCTTCCCAGTTCACCATGTAAGTTGTCTTTCTGACACGCACATTCTCCTGCCTGCCACGGTGACACCACCAGCCATGAGTTCCTTACCCGAGTGACCGCTCAGACCATGGCCTCGAGTCTCCAGAACTAAATGAGTATCTGTCCTCTCTAAAGCACCAAGCCCCAGCTACTACATTATGACAGTGTAGGGATAACCCAGCCCATTGGAGGGGCGTGTTCGCCTCGGGCTAATGTTTACTTATAAATCTGGCGGGTGTCTTTTTTTGTATCTCCTGCTCATCGCTGGATCCCTGGTGTTGTAAGCTATCCCTTCATTAAAATTTGCTGTTTCATATTAAGCTAGCCTGGTTATTACGTCGCCTACATGACAGAAAATGAACTTGTAGAGGCCCTTTGTGATCCTATCACACCAAGATCATGCAGATTTTCCTTCAGGGATCAGGAAGGACAGAGGCAGTAGAGTTCTGAAGTGTAGAGAGAGCCTAGAGAACCAGCTGAATGCCACACCTACCCGTACAGCCATGGCTGCTCACCTGGAGAATATGGAACTTGTTGCTGTCTGTTCTAGTCTGTTATTAAGGGAGTGCTAAGGGAAAGAGACTAGGGAGGAGAGTTGGCAACGAGGAAGCCAACAGTGTCATGGAGACTAGTACGGAGTTGACCCGGCACTATAGAATTGAGAGGATAGGATTGAAGCATATCTCAGGTGAAACACCTCTCGGGGTAGGCTTGGAGGTAGGGCAAGGGCCCAGGGAACCCGCTGCTTTAGGACTGAACTACCATTTTACACCTTAGTAGCTGTCAGATCATGGGCAAATCCGTTCATTTGCTCTGGGCTGCCTTGGTTTTGTTATCTGTAAGATGATGTAGTCCTATTTGGGGTTGGCTCCTCATCCTGTTTCCTCACGGACCCAGTGCTAAGGAGTGGCCTCAGATTCAGATGAGGAAGAGAATCTGGTCAGGGCCAACAGGTTCCTTGTTCTTTGTTCTCCCCCGTCACCTCCTCCCTGGCTTGCCGAGAGCGGGCCAGAAGAGGGCTATTCATCTGCTCTCCATGCTGAGAGACCCAAAGCTGAGGACTAGCTGAGGGCTAGGTAACATCCTAGACTGTGACAGGTTTGGATGCTACCCTGAATAATCACAGCTGATCCTGCAAACCTAAAGAGAGCCTGGGATGTTCAGAGCTGTGGGCATGACAGAAAGCAAGGCCCTGGCTAAGGAAAAATCCTTCCTTCCTAGGGTCTTCTACCCTCTGGGTCCCTCCAGGGCTAGGCTTTGACCAGCTCAGTAATGGTGCCAGCTGGCAGGACCTGGACATGTTTCCATGGAAGTCGGGGGCACACTTAAAGGGGAAGTGAAGGGGGCAAAGACTAGACTAAATTAGCCACATCAGCAAGAGCCTGCTCTCCCATAAACTGTACCAAGTGCAGTCCAGGCAGGCTGAATCTTCTGCATGCCAGGAATGACACCTCATCATGGCATTGAAGCTGTAGTAGGATGTGGAATGACCCCATGAGCCAGAATGCATGGATACAGTTAATGCCTCTAGGCAGACCACTGAAGCCTGAGCCCTTGGTCCCTGGGTCTTTTGATGCTTTCAAATGTGAAAAACTTCGATAGTCCCTTACTTCTTTGCATGAAAGAACCAGTGGCAACTCCCCAGGCAAAGGAGCAAGGGTACGTGCCAGAAATGAACCAGGGTTGGTGCTCCTGCATCCGCTGCTTTCCTTTGAGCCTGACTGCATCTCAGAAGCCCAATTCCTTTCCCAACAAGACAGTAAGCCTGAATGGGCCCGGGAATGTAGTTCAGTTTTATCAGTAGTTGTTGAGCACTCACAAGGCCCTGGGTTCCCTCAAAATGCCTCCCAAATGTCCCACCAAGACACATTTCTATCCTGCCTTTATGGAGAAATGACTTCCGGCTCTTTGGGGAGTTGCCAACTAACTCTTCTTGGGGCTTCTACCCAGTTGGCAAGCAAGAGGTACTGTGATGCAGCCTCCAGGTAGTGGGGCTTCAGGGGGACATCTTAAAGGACACTTACATAGAAGATCTCACTTCTGATCTGTACATGTCTCTTTGAGGCAGGTTAGGCTGAGGAGGGCAAAGGGAAAAATAGAAGAAGCACTCTAGCCTGCCTGAGCGCGGTAGATGGGGCCAGTCCTTTCCACATCCAGATGCTCTCAAAGCACTCATGGGTAGAAAGTTCCTTTTCTACCTATCTCCTTACTACTGTGGCTTCTCAAGGTTGCCAAGCAACCTCTGGGTAAGAAGTCCTTGCCCTGATTGGACAGACAGAAACAACAAGCCAATGGAGACACAGATATCTTGTTTTTCTAGAATGCTATATGTCTGGTTTCATCAGAGGCATCAGAGCCGAGTCAGAGGAGAGCGAGAGCAGGAGAGCCGCTGCACACAGGAGCTAATCTAGCTAGATTACCACATGCTGCAGGGAGCAGAGGGACTGGGGACAGCAGACACTGAACCACTGTGAGAAAGCGCAGATGAGAACGGGGGCAGCACTAGGAGCAGCTTTGCTCTGCCTCTAAAACTAACTCACACACACGTGTGTGTGCGCCCCCCCACCTATACCCCCCATTTACATACACCCCCCATATAAACCCCCACATACACCACAAATACATACATACGTCCCATACCACATATATACATATAACACCATCCACACATATATACACACTCATACATATATAAACACCACATATATATGACGCATACACATGCACACAACACTCCCCTACACTCCCCCCACACCCCACAAACACATACACACACACTACATATACACCACACACTCATGCACACACCCCATACCACACACATATACATACCACAACACCATTCACACATACACACATACTCACACACATACACACCCCACACATACACATGCATACAACATGCCCATACACACATCACACATGTACACCCCCACATACACATACCACATACACCACAAACACACACACTATATACATACCACACACTCCTACACACACCTCATACCACATACCACACACACCATCCACACATATGCATACTCACACACATATATAAACACCCCACACAAACATACACATGCATGCAACACTCCATACACACACCACACTTACACCCTAGACCCACACACTACCCTTAACTATATACAAACCACAGATACACACCCCTTCCCCCATATACACACCACACACACCACCCGTATCTCTATATAAACCACACACATACACACACTACATAATAACCCCACACCCTGCACATACCCCTCTACACATACACATACCATCCAGCCCACACACCTGCCATGCATACACCACACACACATACACCCACCACACATGTACACACACTATCACCCCACATCCACAAACATCACACATTCCTCACTCACAGTTAACATACACGATACACATGCATACATAGTTCACACACACCATTCACCTACCCGCCCCCACAAATACATTTTTAATTACCTCTGGGAGGCACAAATCTCATTTTCCCACTTCTCTCTGGATCACAACCTAGTCCCACCTGGTCATATTATACTAAACATAGAGGAAGAGGGAACCATGATAGAAAAGAAAAGTCCGGCGGCCTGTCTAAGGAGCTAACACCCTTCTGACCAAGTTCAGGCTCCTTGATGCTCTAGTCTGGATGTAGGAATCTCAGGGGAAATGGGCTTGGAGGTAAATTTTCCCTAGTGGCTGTGGTATCCTCTGGGTGCCACCCCACCCTGGGGCCCTCACTCTGGCCCTCTGCTGTTTTCATATCCGCCCACCCCAAGAGGAAGGAGCCATGTCTTTCTGGGCATCTTGCAGAGAGCTGGAATAGATGTTGGGAAGAGGTAAGAAGGACTTAATCCAATTAGCAGCTGGTCCTCCGCTCTTGGCCCAAAGATCTCTGGAACTGGATTGCTCTGGCAAGGGCTTGGGTGAGAGTAAAGAGCAGACTGGTTGCCTTCTCCAAGTCTGGGTGGTAGGGGGATATGGGGTCTGGAACTGCTCTGAGATTGGAGCCAGATGCCAAGCAGAGGTAAACTGGGAATGAAAGATGGAAAGCCTCTAGCATTGTTTCATTTTCTTTCTTTCATTCATGAATACATTATTTATTATTCCAGGCCAGCCTTGAACACACTATGTAGCCAAGGATGAGTGTTAGCTTCTGTTCCACTTGCCTCCATCTCTCAAGTGCCGGGAGTGTGAATGTGGACCACCACACTTGCTCTGAGCAGTGCTGTGGACTGAAT